GTGTTGAGGGTGTGGCCTACGACCGAGTCAGGGCATGATAAGGGCCTAGATGTTGCCAAGCATCAGCCACTTGTCAAATATAGGTCTTTGATTTGAGATGATTTTTGTTTGTTTACTTTTGCCTGATTCTCCTAGCCAGCATTTCCCTAGTGCGTAGATGCAAGATAACAAATCAGCCTACGGAGTGCCGATAGGACTTGTCAATATTTTCTTTGTTTTCTTCTTCCCCTTTCTTCTGATTGCATTCAGCTAGTGGTAATCAACCGACGATAAACACCAAGCTTCTTTATATAGCACACAGACACTGCGGCTGTCTGCATAAATTAGTAGGTACATGTGTATGGAGTAGTAAAAACTGTAAAAAGTACAGGATCCGAATCCTCTATGATCATCAGCTCGTATTCCTTTGCCCCGTGATCTGTCAAAACTCCGCCCAGTCCGAAACCAACTCCGGAATCAAACTAACGCCCAAATCCATTCCATATATCCATATATCCGCCTATATGTACAACAGCCATGCCGAAGCCGTACCCAATGCAAGGCTGTAGGATTCAGGATTCACCCCAGATGATAATTCAAGGACATCGCCGCCGCCGCTCAGGCATTTCATGACGCGAACGTCATCTTAGCGTCACTAAGAGATCCGTTTTCTTCAATACCATGAAATCAGCCTTTTAGTATACTTTATTTGTGTCCTTTAGGTGGACCTGACATCAATATCTATCTACAGAGTATTGATATAAGTAGTGACTATATGTGTAGGTGTAACTTGGCAACCACAGTATGTATCGTAGTCTACTTGACGAAACTTATTACTAAGAATTGAAAAAACAGGGTTCTGATAACAGCGTAAGATACTGATGGGGGGTAAAAGCAAACCAAAGGTCACTAGGTTGGTAGACCGTAGTTGACCGCAAAAATAGTCTATCCAGCGCCAAAATACGGACGGTCCTCCATCCTGAAACATTTCTAGTAACGATTAGACTACTAGACGCTCCTGGGGACCCATTTCTTGTAGCGGTCAAGATTGGTGGAGCTGGGAAGGTTTAGTTCAGAAAAGAGAAGAAGATGGGAGAATTAGACTACCCCAAAGAAACCAAAAAAGAAAAAAGAAAAAAAATTTCAGATTAAACTTGATGAGGAAATTGTACATGGAAACTTCTTTATCCAATTGAAATGAAAGAATTCAATAGGGATGGCAAAAATAGCCCTTGGTTTTACTGTGGGAGCCACGTGGTTTTCCGGTTACGAGATTTGTGTATTGTACCTGTACCATGAATGAATACTTTACCGGATTAGGATGCTGTTGTGTAATTTATTTCTCGGCAGAATTGTCTGGGGGAGGGGAGTTATCGACAGGGGGAGATAGAATACTTCATGGATCGAGGTGACTGATTCAGGCAAGAATCAACACTTTCTGTCCCTCGATATAGATATCGACGCTATCATTAGATAGGATTTCACTCTATTCTGTACTGAACGCATAGACCAGTCGTCAACCAGACATTGCCAAAGGGGGAAAGGGGATCGTGAATTTCTAGTTTTATCCTTTTGCTTTTTTTCTTCTGCCCTGTCTTTTCCCCTGGCGCACATCACAAGTACAGCCAGGCCGGACTTAGGGAAAACTACAGAAACCGAAAAAAGAAAAAGAAATTGGATAATATTTCCGCCTCTCAGATTGCTGACTAGATTTGTACTCTGTATCATCTGAATGCTATAGATAGCCACCGATCCTCAAAAATTGGGTTCCGACTCCGCACCCCTGAAACAAATATCCAATATCGAGAATCACTTCTATTTTTCCCCTTTTTCTTCCCAGACCATCTGGCCCAGGGACTGCGACGGCAAGTTCCGAAATTTCCTATACCATCGATAGCCCATTTAAACTTCATGTGACAAATCAAAGGTTGAAAGGGGGGGCAGAAGAAAAGACGAAAAGAGTTTGAACTAGCGAGATCTACCGAGAAATAGCGAACTCCATCTGCGTCAGATCGGAACTTGTCTTAAAAACTTCAAATATGATATCATTCCGTCACCGTAGACTAGAACGTTTAGGTGTTCGAAATCCGAACTAGTCCCGCTCCATCCATGGTATGATTAATGAAGGTTAATCGGACTATTGCCTTCAAGGCCGGAGGAAAGGAGGTACTTCTCCGAGTGGAAGCCGAACATTCAATGGAATATGGATAGGTCCAAGTGAACGGAGTCAGGGGGCGGCGCTAGAAGTTTTCCAGAAGGGTTCTAGAACGCCACTAGAAGGTGGGTTTCGCTCGCTAGTGTGCTATCCGTATCCAACCTCCCGAGTTGTGAGGTAACATCGCCCCAACCACAAATGGGAAAAAAAAATGGGTTCTTCACTCCGGGTGGATTCCTTTGGAGGCAAGGAGATCGATGGGCTGATATTCTCATCATGATGTAATATATAATGTATCGGACTTGAGTTTACGTATTGCTATGGGTAAATTCTTTAGTGAGGCTGACGAGGCTGGCGGTAGAAATATGTAAGTAGTATAGAGAAGAATGGATCGTATGCTCAATCTTTCGATTTAATTCATAGGGTAAAATTTGGGTATTGAACATGATATAATCTTCAACCATCAAACTCAATCCTCAAATTGTATATATCGGGGAGCTCCGTAACTATCGTCCCAATAATTTAATAAAATTTTTCGAACCATAAACTCATTATCAAGCAACGCAAAGAGAGAGAAAAAGTTTCCGAACCACGTATCGGGTGAATTTGTTGGTGAATGCACGTGGAGGATCTTCCGGGAAGGCGGTAAGTTGAACCTTGTGTGGTATATACCACAGGGATACACCGTCACTCCGGTTCCGTCCATATCATGAGATGGGTATTGAATACCGTACTATTTCCGGTACGGGTATGTAAGTCGTACTGTTACACCGTCCTAACAACACTTGCCGAACAGGGATTTCGCTACGGTACACTGCAGAAACCCATGTGGCCCCGGATGGCATCAACAAACGTCAGGCCAAGTCCGAAACTCCTGTTGCCTGGCTTGTACCTGTAGGTAGAGTACATACCTTTTTTTCTTGGTCTGGTCCACCGCTCGACTGTTGCCTATGGATGCAAGGACGGCAAAACCAGTCCGACGCCTAACTTCCACGGGTTGAAAGCTTCTCATTTGGCAAGTGCAGATCCTTGCTTCCACGCGGAGGAGGTTTAAGCGCCGTGATATGGAGGCCCACCAAGCCTTCTCAGGGGTGCCATGCCTGAGGATTACTTTTCTTTTAGAAGTATACGGATATGGACAGGGTTGATTTGGAATACTACAGAAGTACTACTACTAGCAAGAAGTATCTATATCGTGTGACGTTTTCTAGTGGTTCTCGTCTACTAGGGTCATTAGCAGATCTCAATTGATATAAGCTGATCGAAATATGATGGCTGAAGGCCAAATAGTTCATCCCATTGGGCGCGGCACCAGTCACTCTGCTTTAGCCACTTTCACTAGTGAAGTGACGAACTAAACCTGGTTTGGAGGGGGAACAGGGGTGCTTGACCGCATCTTACGCATCAATGTTTGTTTCATCTTGCGATCATCCTCTGGTCGAGAATATCCGGATGTCACTGTATGACTCTTAAGTGGCCTCTTGGGTTTCAAGATCAGACCATGCGGATTGCTGCTTGGACTCGATATACTTGGATTAATTATACGATAACATCACCAAACAGTATCGAGTAGTATAGCCCTCGCTAGGTAGACGAGCTACAATATAAAAGAATGAATAATCCATCAAAACATCCCTCCATACGGTCAGATCCATTAGTAGCAAACAGAGACAGACGCATAAACAGGACCCTAAATACCCCTTTGACATTGTCCGACAGAAATCCTCCCCCGCCTAGACCTGCGAAATAGAAATGACTACTTAAGGACATTTCATGCATTAGTGTGGAGAGAAGGCATCTGATTCGCTGGCAATTCAAGATACACTTGAGATTGACCAGGATGATAGGGAAATGTCTAGAGGAGCCAATGGTTAGGGCTAACCTTCTGACAGATTCAACTTGGATAACCAGATGCCGGACCCAAATGATACTACTGGTTATCCAGAAAGTATGTATATGTATATATATAGATACTCAGCAATTCTTGAGACAGTGAAGCCAGATCAGACCTGACCAGACCAGGCATTCATGCATCCCATGGGGGTTGCACAGAATCTTGTTCTCGACCCGTCATCCGAGCGGTTGAGTAACATCAACAAGATTAATGGGATAGGATGAGAAAGGGGGGAAAGTGAAGTGGAGGACGCAAAAAGTCTTTGCCAAGACTATAATTATCATAACTATCCATATTATAGTCTTTTTGACATTCAAGCTAAATTGCACACTATCCCCAACAATCTCCATCTTCTCCACATCGCTTTCCTCACACCCTGGTAAGTTCATTAAGCTATCCTCTTTGCATAGTCCGGAAGAATCCTGTTCAATCTCTGTGTAAGAACTGCAGGATCCAAAATGAACCGGACTCAGGTTAGTCCCGTTTCTCATGTCTAATTTAGTAGCTTTATTGGGTCAAGTTGTATGCCATCATGCGTCGTTAGGTCATACGGAGAATTGCGGTGGTGATCGTCAAACGGTTTACTGAACAGAAGATCTTATAGGCCGATGGCGCATTAATAAGTTTTTTCCTTTCTTTCTTTTCTTCACAAATCATGCAATACCTTCCCTCGAGAGAGAGGGATTCCTGTTGCCCTCGGAGGATGACCGAATCAACTGGGTACCGGGCTATACTAAACATTAGTATCTATCAATATGTAAGCCCGAATTGATAAGGATGGGAAGAAGAAACAGAAGGTGTTCCATTTAACCGGCCACCTTGTAGGGCATCGGCTTTGTTATCCATTCTGGTCGACATCCATGTAATACTTGTACTTACACACACATTTGGTTACCCGAAAATAAAGAATGGTAATATATGATACGAATAAATATAATAATCATAATATAATAATAGTCTATTACTAGCTGACGCACATATCCTAATCCTTAGCCATCCCGCCACCATTTCCCCAGGGAACCACCTGATCCAGCCATGTCAACTACCTCTTCGAAGCTAATCTCTACCCGGAACATCCGACCATCTGCAGTGCCAGTACCACCGCCAACTGGACTAATTAATCCCCAACTGATCAGCTTCTCCCATGCTTCACGTGCGACATCCCGACCCCAGACTCGTCCAGGGGTTGCGGCTGCTCCAGATACGGAAGCGGACGTTTTAGCGAACGTCAAAAGCCGGACATACTCGGCATATGCAGCGGGGAACGAGAGCGCAAGAGGGGCTAGATTCTGAGGCTGTGTAGCTTCTAGGCCCGGGTCATATAACGCAGCCAGCCGGGTTGCGGCCAGCAACAGAGATAGGGGCAGCGATGATGGACTGGCTGAGGTCATCGTTGATGTGGAGAACGGGAGAAGTGCAGGATCGGGACAGGATAGGCTTTGGCTGCTAAAACTGGCCGGTGTTGGGATCTGGAGCGTGGCAGCTCCGCCTATGGGGTCACAGGAGCTGTAATGCAGTTCCATAATGCCAATCAAGGCACTCGTAAAGAATTCCTTCACCGACCTAGTTTGGAAGAATATCCTCCGTAAATGCGTTTGGAACGCCTCGTCATTCCACAGGCCCTGTTCTAGGTAAGCTTTACTGTCTCCACATAGCAGCTACAAATAGGAGGTGACGATACCTGCAAATACATTCTCCATCCTTCTAAGAGTCTGCCAAACCCTTCGGAGTTGATAAGAGAATGATCATCCGCATTGGCCGCCTCTTCCAGGAGATCCGAGACCTCGCTATCTTCCAGGTTCAGTCCCGCTAAGCAGATATCGGAAAAGGTCTCTAGCGATCTAGGAAGTGGAACATAGACGTAGCGATGGCTGAACCGACTCTTTACTCGCTTTTCCAACATCTCGGTCACGTCCACCTTCGTAGTCAGGCCCAGAACTGCAACGGGAGCTTTCCGTGCTTGTGCGATATCGAACAGATTGTACAGGAGGGTCTGACGTGGGTGAGAAACAAAGAGGTCGAACTCCTCCAGAATGATAATAACGGATTTGGCTGCAGTTACAGTGTCTGTATTATTAGAAGCACCAAAAAGCTCTTCCGGATGCGACAAAAGAGCGAGAAGAGTGGCCATCGTGTCCGCGTAGCTGCTTACTTTTCCGGCCTCCTCTTCAGTATTGGTTTCACGACCAAGCTGACGCCACATCTCACGAAGTGCCAATCGATCATCTGTATGCAAGAACCCGTTGAGGCGGACGACATGGAAATCATTGCGGTGTTCTTTTTTAAGCGACGAGATGATTGTCTCGACTATGGCGGTCTTTCCGGATCCTCGTGATCCGAGAAGCAACATCGAATTGCCCTCTCCCACGCTGACAGTTTGCTCCACAAGCTGATGAACTTTGTCATACTCACTCTCCAGGCCTTTCAAAGGAACACATCTCTTGCTAGTAAGTTTCTCAAGGATGATCCTAGTCAGCGTTTGCAATTCAGCGGTCAAGCCATTGTAAGACAGTGTTTGTAATGATTCAGCGTAATCCGGGAGCGTTTCGCCCTCGACTACAGTCTCGTCCTTGGCAGTCAAATCGGTCTGGGTGAGATCTTGTTCTAATTGCATTGAAACAAGATCGTCCAACCCATCCTGGTATTCATCCGGGGAAAGAGACTGCTGCATCCCAATTTCCCCCTCGGCCGCATTGCCACTCGTATTTGTCTCAACACCAGTAAATCTCACAGGGGCTCTCCTGGACCTCGTCCTCGTTAGCCTTTTAGTCTGCGGTTCCGACTGCGGCGACTCTGCCTCGCTGGCCTCTTCCGACGCATGTCTTGCCCTCCGCGTACTCCTCGGAGTGGCCCCATTCCGACCAGCCGATGCGGTAGTCCTCCTTGTCAATGCAGGCGTACCAGCAACTTCATCCTCATACCGCTGAGGCGGTTTGCGCTGCCGTCCACTTGACCGTAGACTAGGCCTTGAGGGCGTCTCTGTCTCTGTCCCGTTCTCTTTCTCCTTTTCCAGCCGGTCTATAGCAACTTTCTGACCCGCTTTTGACAATCGGCGACGCGCAGACCTAGGCATAGTCGGGGACCTTTGGCCTTCGTCATCTGAAGACTCCTTCGCCTGAGCTGGTCTCTGCGGGGTGGGCGATGCGGCGACCGCCTCCCGGACGTCGTCGCCCATCGCAACATCACCGTCCTCATCTACACTCAGCGCATCAGACACCCTCCTCCTCTTGCTAGCCCGCGAATCCTTCATCGTCACAGTAACCGATATATAGCCGGCCCGACCGTCGCGACTCAATCGTACCCCGGCGTACGAGACGTAGGGGAATCACAAAGCACGGCTTCGAGTAATTCTTCACCTTACCCACTGCATATACTATAGACGTCTTATTCCGCTAATTTGAAGCTTCAATGGCACGTATATCGGGCTGAATGTCCAAGGGAGCGCGAACAAGGGCAGGGTCGGTGCGGAGTTGGAAATATTTTTCGGAGATCTGTGCCTGCGTAATAAATCTAATGTGACCGGTACCTGTTAGTCGAACATTGAAAGAGAGATAGTATTGTTCCAATGACAGTAGCATAACTTACGATTTAGGTGCGCTTTATACAGTAACGAGCGGCTTTGTATTATGGACCTTCAAGTATATCTAGCGGATGCTTGTTTGAGATAACTCCGCCCTTGTCGCCTGAGGCAGAAGGCGTGACGCGAGGTCAGGTGAGATGAGGTCAGTTTTAGTACACCCATTTTTTTAGGGTTTGGGGTTATTTTCATATGGAGGGTGATGATAGGTTTATCTATTTGTATTTTAGAATGGGTGAACGGCTCTGTGAGCTGCGTGAGTTAGGAATGGTGCGTTAGTATGTACCTTCTGTGTGTACCTCCTGATCGACATAACTGGGAGCATTCATACTATACTTTGCTACGGACTGGGGCGATTATATTGCTTTAGGAACACATCCTAGATATTGGGGGTTTATTCTTAACGCTAGGCTGGGAATTAGTTGGTTTAAGCTATTAGTGGCTTGGGTAACCAAGAAATTATAGGTTATCAACCCCATACATCATGACGATGGTACCTCGGTAAAGTTTGTTAAATATATAACACGAGTTATATCCCAGCCAACAGAACGTTGGAGAGTGCTTTTGTATCAAGACACAGAACAGGGACACTTGTCCATCCAATTCCCAGTCCCCACATCCGACACCGACATACCATGTCCTACAATCCACCGAGAGTGCAATTAACCCCAAATTAATGGTGTAGCTAGCTAGACCCATAAGCCAAACGACAGCTAAGCAGTGAACCTCGGCTAGAACGAAGGGAAGTTTATCTCCTAGTCTTTCGCATAAATCCAACTGCTAGGTTTCTTTAATCGAATACACATACATATATCCACTCTCTATTCAAGAAGCCTACCGAATTCATAGACCCCTTGACCGCATCCATCAATCATCGTCCGCTTTAATCCTGGAGTTTGATCAGTATCACCACCTTCGAAATGCCAATCAGCGCCCCAAACAGGCAACTAGATGAATTCGAGGACCTTGTCTACCACTATTCCAATGGCATGAACATTGAAAATGCTGAAGAGGTCCATCCCCACCATAACAATCATATCTACTCATGAGGTCCTCAAGTAAACCAGTCACTGATATACTACAGCGTTGGGATATCGATGCCACCGCCTGCAATGTTCGCTTCGAGTCCGCAACTCAGGGCCCTCCAGCGCGAGTGTCGTTTCTTTTCAAAGTAGCCCCCAAAATATGCAATGCTGTGGGGACGCTCCATGGCGGTTGTGCTGCTACGTTGATTGATAATCTATCTACCACGATTCTCATGGGTGTCTCCAAGCCCGGCCATTTCTCGTTGGGTGGAGTGAGTCGCAATCTCAGAGTGACGTACTTGCGTCCTGTTCCTAGAGATCTCGAGGCTCGATTGGTATGTGAGGTGATTCACATGGGGAAGCGATTGGCGCTGCTGCGAGCAGAGATCCAACGAGCTGATACTGGGGATGTCTGCGTTGTTGGCGAACACGAGAAAGCCAACACAGATCCCGAGGCGGGCGGCCGAGTGTGATTGTCGAACCGCTATATATATTTTCTTAATGCCTTTCATTAATATTATTAGAAATTACAATCATGGCCACAGGAGATGGAGTAAGATGACTTGAAAAAAAGCAGCATTACATTTTGTTATTGATGGTCTGATTAGGGCAACCGAGAAAGACAACACCGGACCCTGAGGATCCCCAGAGGGTAACTGGCATCTACTTATATTTAAAAGGGTACAATATATATACCAAAGTGGAGGTCTGCCGACTCCAAGAGTGTGATGGCTGAGGGATGCAAAAGAAAAGAAAAAGGAAAGAAAGCCCAAAAGCAAGATGGCTCAACTTTAAAACATCCAAAGCAATGATATATTACCTAATTCTCAAAATGCGATGACAGGGTATTTACTCCTGGGCAAGTTGCTGATCCTCCCGGAGGCCTTCAACGACGAGTTCCTCACCTGTTGCGCGGCGATAGATGTCACGAACATCGGCTGATTTAGTGTTAGTTTCTTCTTCCGCTTCCCTCAAGGCCTATGAAAACAAGACTTACCTGTTGTGCTTTCAAAGTGAGACGTGGCATCGTAGCTCTTGGAGATGAAGATATTCTCACTCTCGCCGCTATCCAGAGGCTCGTAAAGCGGGATGGGGGAGCCGAAGAACTTCTCCTCGATTTCACCCAGGCGCTCAAAGCCAGGCTCTAACTCAAGGTGGTGATTGGCATCACTCTCGGCAATGGTCGAGACGATAGCAATATAGTAGCCCTTGGGGCAAACGTTGTGCGCCGACGAAACCATGGCGATATAGATATCTAGCCGATATTAGCAAAAGCTGTCGTGTCAACCCTTTGATTCCGGTGAACACTTACCGTGCTTCCTTCCAACCTGCGATTGGGGAATGATCAGCTGCAGCGAGTCGCTGCCGTCGGTCTTATCGATGGGGTGCTTCAGGATACAGATCGCCTTCAGCAAATACCCTGTGACCCTGACCTTGCCGGGGAAGTAAGATGGGTCGGCCAGGATCTTTTTAGTCTTGGTGGTGAACTTCATGGTCTCGCCATTGTCATCCCTATCCTTCATGGTTGCCTTGATTCCGGAAACCTTGCCGTTCTCATAGAGGACCTCATCGATGTCGGTGTTAAGCATGTAGGTACCTCCATAGATAGCGGACAGACGAGCAAAGCCCTGAGGAAGCTCACCCAGACCGTAGAGCGGGTAGATGTAGGGCGATTTACCGTAGCGGGCCATAGAGTTGACGTACAGGCGAATGCGGTTAATAGCATCCAAGGCCATTCCACTCTTATTAATGTACTCGTCGGACTGATACAAAGCCATTGAGTGACCAATGAAATCACGGGTGTTATCCTCCAAGCTGAATTTGTCATAGACTTCTTTCATGGTGCACTGAGCAATGTTCAAGCCTGGGCAAGATTAGCAGACGTGACGAGACAAGTACTGGGTCCCACGTAACGAACCGTTGTGAGTGCTAGGATTATCTTCCTTGAATTCACCAACCCATTCCAGGAACTTCTTAGCTCTCCGCTTTTCCCACATGCCCATGAGAGACGAGCGAAGTGCTTCGTTGGCATCGGAGGGGACCTTGGCCACGGTGGCCTTGGGACTCTTTCCTTGTTGCACGTAGCTGCCGGCAATCTGCTTGAACTCAAGGTAACGTGTGACATCGGTGGAAACCAGAATATTCGTCAACTCGCCGTTCGCCATGAGCAGCTTGGGGACCAAGTCGACGTTCCAGTCGTTGGCCCGTCCATACTTCTTCCAGGGCTCTTCGCCGGGGCGAACGTTGCCGTATTTCTTAAAGAGCTGTACAGCGCCAAGGCGAAATTAGTATAGTGAACAAAGACATAGATAAAGTGTCTCTGGTAGAACTTACTGTTTCGATGTTCACGGAAGCAGCCTCTCTGGTTTCAAAATATTAGCAGCGGGGTGACGTGTGACTGGCGGAATAGCTCCCTAACATGGATACTTACCCTCCGTAGTGGTCATTGCGATCGATGTGAAGAACCTTGTTGCCCTTGACACTCAGAACACTATATATTAATCAATATGCGAGCTGAAAAGAGATTGGGAGAATCAAGGAAAGTCCATACCCTGAAAGTACGCACTCCGTCAGGCCTGAGAGGGGTGTTAGTCCAGCTGGTTGTTGAGTGGCGGGGCAGTGGTTTAGTAGTACGTACCAGTGCCGAGAACAACCACATCATATTCGGGGGCGATCTCATCCATGATGCAATATGGTGTAGAGTTTCACAGATGCAAAGGTTCAACGTAAATGAGACTAAAAGAAAAGAAGAAAGGATAGAAGAGTTCAGCGACGTGGGTAAAAGAAGACTTGAAATGTCAAGGTGGGAGGATGCGGAGACAGAGAATTGAACTGGAGCGGTGAGTTGTGTCATGAAAGGAGAGCAACCTATTACGTTCTGGTCGTTAGGCCGTCATGTCCACTCTCTAGTCTGCCCCCGCGGATCATGAATGAGCAACAATTCACCTTCATTCTAATTAAACGGCTCCACCGATCCAAATAACCTCCTACCTCGGGGTGATAGTTAAGGAGACGGCTTTTCTAGAATCGTAATTAAGTATCGTAATATCTCTTACTATCCAAGAGAAAACTTAGTAAAAAAAAATTCTATACGGAGACCTCCTGAACCATCATTTTTTTACCACCCCTTTTCCTGCCAAATATATATGTGGAGATCGTGGATTATAAGGAGTATATGGATGCCACTTAATACATACCTTGGACTTAACCCCTTATCAGACGACCCCAGAACTATTGAAATTGAATGTACGATCTGGACTCGAAAGATTGTGGTCTAATCGACATGTAGAATTTCCCTTTTCAGGAAGAAACATCCTTTACTAAATCCTACCAGTCATGAAAACAATTGGACTAATACACAGAGTGATAATACTACATACATAGAACAAATGACCACAGACATAAGTCCTTACATTATATTCGAGGAACTGCAACTCTTGGACGAACATCACGCGGTGCTCGATCTCTCCTCAGCATCCTCCTGTGGCCGATAGCCGCTGTTGTACAATTTCTGGGCATCTTCCCAGGCATACCATCTTTCCCGAAGAACGTGCTTGATACTCCTTTGGGTAACACGGACCTGTTTTAAGGTAAATGTCAGTGATCTGATCCCAAGAAACAGGCGCAAGTTGCATAGATGGGATGGAACATAGTGCTGTCTAGACACAAATAATATTCCCAAGACGCCTGAATAGGAAAAGAACTCACCGCTCGATCCCGCTCATTAAGCTCATACTCTCCGTAACCTGCCTTCAATCGCGCTCTTTCCAGAGAAGCAGTGGCTATGCGATTACGTTCCTTGACACAGACCCACCAAAGGGCGTGGAGGTCCTCCCAGGACTTTTCACGGAGTTCCTGGATGGACCAGGGGCGGCCTAAACAGTTGCTGGTAAGCATCGCGCGGTTTCCAGTAGAGGGTCTCTTATTCCAGTCCCCAATAGAACCGAAAGAAAGTGAACTAACCATGCGCGTTGTCCTCTACAGGCGTGGCCAATACCGCACGACTCCTAGGGAAGAATGCCCAAAGCCCATGATCCGGCGAAAGTTGAGGTTTCTGGAGAGTATCCGGCGAGACAGGCTTAGGCAATGGGTACTTTGAGACACCCAACTTGAACTTTGGACCGGTACGATGGATTGCAGACACACCGCGTGACTTGCTCAGATCACGTCCATGGCCGGCGGCGACAGCGGTCGAGGAGAAGTTCGAGCACTGAATGGGGGACCGGATCACGGAGAAGTGGAGGGACGGCGCGAGGTAGGCAGGAGGCAATTCGGCCAGCGGAAGACCCCCGCACTGGCGAGCAAGCCGTGTAACAGATTGACGATGCATTGTGAATTGGAGGGAACAGCCTTCCACAAGAAGGCTCGAAGGAACATCTCCGAGCAGAAGCTAACGGGAGTGAGTGGACTTTTCGGCGGGTAAATCACGTGAGAAACAGCCGCTTGTTATGTCGCGGCAATATCATCAACTGCCACTGACATTTTCCGGACAACAACTTAGTACGTATGGGTTATTGTATACCGTAGAGATCTTTATCCGAAACTTCTTTGTTTCCTATTGAGAACATTTCCAGATGTGGTACGGGACTATACAAAGGTACTAGAACAATGTAAGAGATTGTTCTTCAATAAAAAAGGAAAAGAAAGAGAGAATGTAATAGGTCAAGCCTCAATTTATGGATATATTATACTACGCTTGGAATAAATTCCGAAACAGTGGACTTGGAAGTACTGTTCTAACTATCGATAATTATTCGATACAGCGTAAAGTTATAAAGCGGGCGGCTAACATGGCCCGTGCCCATTGGGAAGCGCGCGTTTGCAGCCACTCCACTTCCAGTATCCGTCGCATGAGAGTGGCCAGAGATCCTTGGAAGCACTGGTGATTTCAATACGTCCCCAAATTCTTTGTGTGTACATTCTCCTTATTTTCTTATAACAACGATTCCTCATATACAGACTACTTTTTGGAAGTTTGCCACATCATGAATCGGCCAGGTTTGTCCTATCTTTCTTCTCTTATTTTGTGCTGTTCAAGGCTCGGCATTGGTATAGCCAGTCAGAGAAGTGATTTTCTTTGATCAATTTACATATGGCCATATATTGTTCCCAGGATATTTTCATCTGTTCCAAAGGGCCTCCTGTGATCAGGAAGAGTCCGGCTTTGGACTGGGGTTTACACCAATTGTATGCATTCACAGAATGGCTCTTGATCTGTGACTGGGTAGCCTTGCAAGATTTCATTGACAAGGCTCGGGTACCTTGAACGGAGGAGTTGCGGAACACTTCTTGTTCAATCTTGTGGATTTACTTTTCATGTTCTGACTCTTGATATTTTAACCAGGACCAGGCCCACAACCGCTCCGGGGTATGTCTGGATTCCCCGCACAGCAACAAGCACAAGCTCGGAATGCGACATTGGCATCGACGCGCTTGCCAAACGGGAAACTAGGTGCGATTGCATCAAATGACATAGCTACAACGTTGGGGACTAATGGAGGAAGGCCAAATAGGGAGCGGTGCTGCTTGGAATTTCAACTTGCCCGTGGGTGGAACCCCAGGGATTCAAAATAACCAGCAGCGCAATATGGGCAATATTGGGTCTTTCGCACAGAGTCTCAGTGGATCGCAACCCGCTACACCTCTTGATTTGTCGTGAGTGTGATATGGCCTATTTTCACGCCTCGAGGAATTTTCGCATTTGGGAGGCATGGGTTCTCGTTTTAAATGCTAATGCTGAGATTTTGCCTGCTAGCGATTTTCCTTCATTATCCGGCGCACCTCCACAGTCTCAGGCTCAAAATCCGGGACATTTAGTATGGGCGAATGCCAGCCAACGAGCATTGCAACAGACCCCTGTCCAAAGGCAGCAACACCCCACGTCTCAAGCACCTTCGCGACCGCTTCAAACACAATCACTTTCTCAACAACAGTCCCAACCCTCGCACGATGACGTATTTCCCTCTGGAGCCCAATTCGCCAATCGGCTTGATGACTATAGAAACGGTGGGCAGGGCATCAGTGGTCAGTTAAGCACGGGCGCGCAACCACAAACAGGCAATATCGAGGAATTTCCTCCGCTGGGACGGAATGCTGCGGCAGAGCTTGGTCAAGACCGTAGGGGCTCCTTAATGCAAAGTGCGGGATTTGGCAGCTACAGCGCTGGCCTACCACTCACGGGCGCAAGTCAAGCCCAGTCTGCGCAGAATCGCAACGTGATCTCAGCGTCAATAAACGGACAGGAAAGAATCATGTCGCCTGCCAACGCGGGGCCAGGAAGTATGTTTGTCGAGGTTTTACTCATCAGATGATAGAGGATTAATCACTTTCAGGTATTGGAACTTCACGATCGCCTGTCAATCAAGCGTCCAATGGGATTGTCGGTCAAGAGAAAGAGGTTCGGTCCACAATAACTGATGGCTGCATGTAACCATGCTTACAAGAAGCTACAGGACTTGAGCACCGCCGTGTTGTCAACTCAGCGCAGCTTCACCGAACCACAGCCTATCTCTGGGGACGCACCAGAGCCTTCTGGAGCTGTCCAAAGTGCTGAGCAACCGCCATTAGGCGAGATGAGCGAGCTCGATAAATTTGGTCTGGCAGGCCTCTTGCGGATGATCCACAGTGATAGCCCAGATATCGCGAGTCTTGCAGTAGGTCAGGACCTGATGACATTAGGCTTGGATTTGAACCAACCGGAGTATGTCTATATTTACTGACTCAGTTACAACCCACCTGCCTAAACTAATATTTTCCAGGCCCTTACATACGACTTTCGCTTCACCTTTCGTTGCATCCATGGCGGGTGTGCCCCTAGAGCAGGACTTTTCCCTACCCTCTTGTTACAACGTTGCCAATATCCAGCCACTCCAATCTCGTATTGCCAGCTTTAGCGACGAGACACTGTTCTACATTTTTTACAGCATGCCGCGGGATATTATGCAAGAAGTAGTTGCAGAAGAATTGATGGGTCGCAAGTGGAGATATCATAAGATTGAGAGGTGTTGGCTTACCCGTGATGAGACATATCCCGGCCCTGTCGATGTTGAGCGCGGTGTCAGTGAACGAGGTATATACCTTATCTGGGACCCTGCCAGCTGGAAAAAGATCAGAGTACGATAGGACCCACTTGCAACCAAGCTACCTCTTCCACGTGCTAACGAATTTCCTACCGGCAGCGCGAGTTTATTCTCCGGTATGAAGATCTTGACAACAGAATGGATCCCAACAGAGGACTCGCACGCGTTGGATTTCCACAACATGGTTCATGAATATCCCAGAGGAGCACAATGATGGATTCAGCAACGGCGTTGGGCTCTTCCCAGTTTCCTATGGTTGCTCCGGGCTGCCAGTGACCCATAGCTGTTCTCAGGGCATATGTGGTCAATAAGGAAATGGGATATGCGTTAAAGAAAATGACTATCATGATCTTGTCACTCTTTGCACCTTTAAGCAGATAAGCCAATGCTGGCACTGAATACCTATGACTCGAGCGTAATATAGTCATGCATATTCATCTAATCATGAACCCCAGAAAAGATTACTACTAGGGCTCTGACCTGTAGCTATGTATATCTAGTCTTTAGTTTAACCGTGCTAATGCTTGTATTTTGTACATAGATGCTTTCTCCCCAAGGCAAGGCAGCTGACAGCATCGAAGGCATGATGTGATATTTGCAGAAGTATGCTACATCTTCTTGGGTGCTATATACCCATTAAAGAGGCTAGCTTCTCAGGTTCACCGGCCTGGGTGTTAAGGTCAGTCATTGTATAGATCATATCATACCACATACATACACCGCCCACATTCCGTCAGTCCTATAAATTCTGCCAGATACCCTTTGACCGCCCTCCACATCCATTGACGCAAGAAACAAAAGTGGACTCGAAGAATGCTCCAGTACCATCCTCAAGTGTTGTCTCTTGTGGGATTGGCTTGTCTGCTTTGCTTGGGAGAGAAGACATCTACTATTTGTCAATTTACACAGTCTTTAAATAATAACTAGATTAAAATATAGGTGAGTTATGTTGACTCCTTTTCGCATGTTTTTCAAAGCAAGGTATTGTCATACGGGTGGGGGTTGTCTGGTCAAGTGGTTCAGAGCTTGAGAGCTCTAGGAGACCTTAATACAGAAATATTTAAGTCCGTTTTGCTTTCGGATGAAATTGCTTGATTTGTCAATACCAATGCCTGATGGTCATGTCACCAGGCGCATATTCGATGTGGAACCGCTAACCATTCCATAGGTCCATTGGCGAACAGAAACTTTGTCAATGATTTGCTCCTATTTAGAGTATTAAATAGTAAGCATGGCATCAACCTCATTCACCACTTCCATTAGGTCTGCCGGACCGAGAGCTCGCGCAATTCCTTTCCGTTGCTCTCAGCGACCGTCAGTTTTCCATAGACAGCCCGTGGCTCTTCGACAAGGAAGCTTGAGGTATGCCTCTGATACTGCGCCAGAGGCAACGGAAGCAGTGAAAGAAGCACCTAAGAAGGCAGGCCGTGGACTGCGAAAGACCATTATTAGCACGTCTCTGGCTCTTTCCCTTTTAATTGGATACGTGTATGGCACGGATACTAGGGCTAGTGTTCATCAGTACGGCGTGGTTCCTTTGATTAGGCTGCTGTACCCAGATGCGGAGGATGCGCACCATCTTGGAGTGGACTCTTTGAAATCTCTTTATAAATATGGTCTCCATCCCAGAGAACGGGGTAACCAGGATGGCGATGGTGTTCTCGCTACTGAGGTAATAGCTCCTCCAGTGACACTTTGGGACCGATGTTGAACAACTGGCTATAGGTCTTCGGATATACTCTTGCCAATCCAATTGGTATTTCTGCTGGACTGGACAAGCACGCTGACATTCCGGACCCGCTCTTTGAGATCGGGCCTGGGATTGTCGAAGTGGGTGGCACCACTCCTCTACCACAAGAAGGCAATCCCCGGCCTCGTGTCTTCCGGCTTGTTTCCCTGAAAGCCATGATCAACCGTTACGGTCTCAATTCCAAGGGTGCCGACCATATGGCGGCTGTTTTGCAACAAAGAGTTCGCGACTACGCATACACCCATGGATTCGGATTGCATGACCAGGCTGAGGAGCGTGTCTTGAACGGTGAAGCTGGTGTTCCCCCGGGTAGTCTCCGGCCAGGACGACTCCTCGCTGTTCAGGTCGCGAAGAACAAGGCTACCCCGGATGCCGACATTGAAGCCATTAAGCGTGACTATGTATACTGTGTTGACCGTGTGGCCAAATATGCCGATATTCTCGTTGTGAATGTTTCAAGCCCAAACACCCCCGGTTTGCGTGATCTCCAAGCGACAGCCCCTCTTACCGCTATCCTGAAGGGTGTCGTCGGCGCAGCGAAGAACGTCGACCGCAAAACTAAGCCATTCGTCATGGTCAAGGTCAGTCCAGACGAGGACGCAGATGAACAGGTCTCCGGCATTTGTGCCGCTGTCCAGAACTCGGGAGTTGACGGTGTAATTGTGGGAAACACCACCAACCGGCGCCCTGAACCCCTGCCTAAGGGCGTACCACTCCCCCCGAAGGAACAGACCACCCTGAAGGAGACCGGTGGTTATTCTGGCCCCCAGCTCTTTGATCGTACGGTGGCTCTGGTAGCTCGGTACAGAGCTCTCCTCGACCAAGCCCCCGTCACGTCGGAACTCGCCGAAGCTGCCAAGGAAGCTACTACAAGAGTGGTGCAGGCGGAACCTGATTCGGAAAACGTTCCTCCTGTGGAGGCGCCAAACCCTGCTAACCAGTTTCCCCGCAAGGTTATCTTCGCTTCTGGAGGTATCACCACCGGCAAGCAGGCCCAGGCCGCCCTTGACGCTGGTGCCTCCGTCGCCATGATGTATACGGGCGTTGTGTATGGTGGAATTGGAACTGTGACTCGTGTGAAGCAGGAGATGCGCAACGAGAGGCAGGCATAAAAAAGCATGATGGTAGCGACTGTTTCTTGAGTCAAGAGTATGTAAATAGTATTCGGCAATAGTGTTATAAAACCTAGCAATGTTCTGCTTTTCTTCTAAATAAACGTTACTTCTCCTATGCGCTAGTTCCATGTATCAAATATAAGGGTTTTCAGGTCTATCAATGGGATTCCTCCAAGTTTCCTATAGAAAATGATGATAATAAAGGGACGTGGAACAGAAAGGGTCATGTAAGACATAACATTTCAAAGCTCACAGAGACTTCGTCATCTGATCGCAGAACCATGCTCTATTATGCAAATGCAATTCATCACAGCATACCATTACTACGAGAATAGGAATACAAGGAGGATCAAGCGGCATTCAAAGTCTCCTCGACTTCTCTGACCACCTTACGCACACCATCGACCTCATGCGCAAACCTACCTAGGAACATGCCGTCAACAGCTTTCCCCAGACCGCCCGCGCCCCACAGGCCCGGCCCGGCACTTCCCCCATACAAGATGCGGACGTCACCAGGACGCGTTCCAATCGACGCTTTGATCCTTTTCACCACAGCGGAAATATGATCGACTCCTGCCGGCGCAGGTTTTCCTATCGCCCATACAGGCTCATAGGCGAAGATCACCGGTGCGCTGGGGGGAATGGCATTTAGAACTGCCCGGACTTGTACCTCGCATTCGCGCACGGCTAGCTCGACGGCCTCTGACGCAACAGGGCCTGGCGCTGTGATTTCGCCAATACAGACCAGCGGCACCATTCCATGCGCGGAGGCTGCGGCCGCCTTACGCCCCGTCTGGTTGTCTGTTTCACCGAAGATGGAGCGACGTTCAGCATGGCCGAGTTCCACGATGGAAACGCCCATGGAGCGGAGGGCGACCGGGGAAACTTCTCCGGTGTAGGCGCCCAGCGGCTCCCAGAAGCAGTCTTGAGCGCCGAGGAGGAACGGGGGTGGCAAGGTTGACGAGGTCTTGGCTTCTTGGGGGGCTAGGCTGGATTCATAATTTTTGATGATTTCGTTGCTGGGGTAGATAGTCAGGAAGTCGGGGATCAGAGCTAGTAGTAGCTTGGAGCGGTTCGCTGGCCGGACAATGTCATTTTTGGGGTCGAGCAGAGCGCGGAGATAGTCCAGTGTCCGAGTGGGTGTGAAGTACATCTTCAGGGAGATGATGAGTAAGGTGCTGGGTAGCACCGGATAAGTCTGCTCGGCGGAGGCCATTTTCGCCGCTCCTGCTCCTTTTTTCTTTCTTTGTCACTGGAATCCTGGTTGGTCTATTGACCCGCTAGATTTCTGTGAGGATCCTATAATTCTTCGGAGGAGGATTGAATATAGGACCACTCTAGTATGATTCCTGAGATAACCGCAGCGACACTAGAACTCCACTTTAGGCGACACGGAACTAGAATAGTTTAACTCTAGTAGTTGACGGAACCCAGAAGGACAAGTTTCTTGCGTTGAAAAAGTGGAACAAGTCTCCGAAACACGAAAATAGCGAGGAGATGGTGTCGAATTGAGGGACTTCTGCCAATCAATTCAATCTTTTGCCATGCGACGGGAGGGCTTTGAGGTAGTCGTCGTCCAGTGAATTCAATTTACTGCGACCTAATTAACTGGAGCCTGAGTGCGGCTGTGAGCGGATGAAAGTCTGGGACTAAAACAGGACTCGGTAACCAAGTGGGCTTACCCAGCGACAGAAGGAGGAGAAGGCAGATCGTCCCATGCGAATGCACCTCTGCGGATGATGTCACTGGTCGATAGGGAAGCCTTTAGTGGATAACTCTGGGGATACCATGTCAATTGGAGGAGTTTATGGGGATTGGAATTTGGGAGGATGTCATATGTATATAGAGTACATACTATGGAGGCTTGTTTAGATGCGGTATACGAACATATACCACAGTGCCATCTGAGGGATGCGGAGGGGCCATAATAACTGTTGGAGGGGTAGAGGAGCGCTGTTCAGGAGGGGGTCACAGGAACTAATTATTGAAAGTCTTGTAACGACCGATGAGGCCAACGCTGTTGAAGCGGAAATGAACACGCGGTATGGAACGATACGGAAGCCGGTGGATGGGATGTACTGTTTCCGTGCATTCCGAGCCCGCATGAAGCCTTTCCGGTTTGACGCGTAACGGTAATATTACGCAACGTCAATTTCCTGTTTTTGTTTGCTGATTTTACTGACTTTGGAATCCTTGATGCCTGCGGGCCTTAAGGACTCGGACGTTTCGTTGTGATCGATCGGATGGCTGTGGGCCACCAATCAAGGAATTGGGTTTGGTTCGAGAAGGTGGGGGTCCCCCAGTGGACCTAGTACCACCTTCAACAGAGCCGAGCCGCGCCTATAACCTGGAGTACTTTCGGGAGCACCTCTTTGGGTTATGCGAGATCGTTCTTCACATCTAGTCTCAATAGTTGACTGAGATTTTATGGAGACGGTGAGCTGCACATGACCCCTATATATCTACAGTTGGGAAAGCTCCAGATCAATCTGAAGGTCTGGAATCCAAATTTCGAATATCATGTGCTGAGATCAATTTTTCTTGACGTCTGCTAGTGCCAAGCACATACCACAGGTATCCTGCACTAAGCCAAGCTGAGTAGTGCTATGCATTCATCGTTACTGGTGTCGGTGGGAATTCAATTGTGTCCCTGGTCACATTAGTTTACGCACGTTGATACGAAAAAGGTCCCCATCTCACTAACCAATCCGAAACCACTACATTCAGGTTCTTTTGTACACACTTTACTCATTTAGGGGATGCCCAGCAGGACAGTCCGTGGTTACCGCCTGTCGCAACTCTCTGTCGGTATGGCCCAACAATAATTATAGAATCCCTGGTATAGAGCCTTGGTGGGGTACATACGGACTACGACGAGGATCAGATTCCGAAGGATTCTTCAGGTGTGCCCGATACATTGAGCTGGGCTGTCCACCATTGTCAGCGGTTGGTTTGATTGTGTTGGGGGGCTTTTTTGCAGAGGATGGTGTTCAGCCCGTCGGAACTCTAACATGCATAAGGGAGGTTCCTCGACACCCTCAAAGTCGCCAGATAACCCCAAGAAAAACCGCTCAATTCACAGGGTTGGTGGTTTGATTTGATTCCGTGCCATCCTAACTTTTTGATAGGAAACTAATGCCCTAGGCTCAAGCTAGCCGTGTCCGGATTAGTGGAGCGAATGCTATTGGCCCACATGGGCTGCATCCATGAACCAGCCCCATGCGAGACATCGGAAGGGTTGTAATTCATAGAAATGGATTAACTTAACAGGGGGAAGGCCAATACGCAAGGGCTTGAACGTTGGAGAGGAGGCAGATATTGGCTGCGGTCAGAGTTTATGCATTAGTAGTACATGGTGATTTAGGAAGCTTTTGCGACAAAAAAAGGAGGGAAGTTGATTGCCCCTAAAAGATCCGAGTCATTTCTCGATACCTCTCTATCAGCCATGATTGGACCATGGTATTAACCTCATAAGCCACACACGGTAGGATTTACTGTCGTTCCGTTGATTTCCCTCTTTCCCGATCCCTCCATTATACCCATGTAAAGCTATGACGCCACCCGTGGGGCAACAAGTGACCAGAGATGTTGCGCAACGAAATTGAAAAGAGATACTCCTCCTATTCTAACCCAATCAATAGCCTTCATCCGTCGCCGAGGTTTGGTTCGAAGGTTGGAGACACAGCGCAACCTTCCCCCAGATAGAAGGATGGACTAGTTTGACCCCGGGAACAGGAAAAGGAGGGGGACGGACTTTGAACTATATAAGGCTCCTCGAATCCGGCCTTACGTCTTTCATTTCCTTCAAATCCCTAAGACAATTCTCCTTAGGTATCTATTCCTCATTCCAACCCATTCTTCCTTTCAGTTCTCAACGACATAAAAGTCAATCAATACATCAAACTATCAAAATGTCTACCGATCTGAAGCCCCTTCGCATTGTCATGGCCTGTGATGAGGCTGGCCAGCCCTATAAGGAGACTCTCAAGGCTGCCCTCGAGAAGAACCCTCTTGTCGAGTCCATCAGTGATGTCGGTGTCAATTCGACCTCGGACAAGACTGCCTACCCCCATCCCGCCGTCGCCGGTGCTAAACTTATCAAAGAGGGCAAGGCGGACCGTGGTCTCTTCATCTGCGGCACTGGTCTGGGCGTTGCCATCGCTGCCAACAAAGTTCCCGGCATCCGTGCCGTCACTGCCCACGACTCTTTCTCCGTCGAGCGCGCTATTCTGAGCAACGATGCCCATGTCCTTTGCTTTGGCCAGCGTGTCATTGGCATCGAGCTTGCCAAGAAGCTTGCCAACGAGTGGGTAACCTACCGCTTCGACCCTAAGAGCGGTTCCGCTGCGAAGGTTCAGGCCATCTCCGACTACGAGGCCGAGTTTGCCAAGGCTCACTGATAATGGCACTTCGATCCTATCCTTGCTCGAGTGAACGGATTTTTTTTGTCTACGCGACAATCCCAAGGACGGCGCTCACAGCGCCCGTTTAAACCATCGAGATCCGTCCGACAGAGGCGTCCGGTGAATCCTCCCTTACATCCTGTTTTCATACCTCTTCCGAGCGATTGGAGAGCGTCCTAACTAGGGTTGACTGCTCCGCGAACTCTCCATATCTTCATAGTGCATTCACCAAAACGATTCAACGATACCACGAAGCGATTGGAATGAATTTGGCTGGCCGAATTACCCTTGCTTCCTTTCTTCCGTCATAGTTGCTAGTTCCTAGATCGCAGGTTTAGGATAGAATACGAAATCTTCTCTTCTTTCATGAACTTCATCTCCTGACCATCCATGAATCATTCATAATGATATTATCTAGAATAACCGAGTAGTTCTGAGACAATTGGCCAAACAACACATAGTTCCATAAAGAGTTAGTACTTCAGAAACGCTGCTGACTGATCCCGCTTGCAATTCTTCGCGAATCGATGACCTTCGATCAACAACCATTCTGCTCATTAATAACAACCATGGAGGCAAAACCCTTATTCCCATTCCTTGTCACACAGACCAAAGAAGGTCAGCCTTACCGTTTGGCCGCATATCCCCGTCGTCCATCGGGCAGGTGCTTTCTGGAACATACAACACCAACAGCTACCTTACGAGTAGCTTGTCTAGGTATTGTTGGCCCAGAACACAATATCCAGAAAATACCAGGTAGATCCCCGACTGCAAAACGACAACTCCCGCCCAAGTGTTGGCACCGAGCCCAACGTTGCCTCGAAGGCAGAAATTCAAGTCCCACCTCATATACAAAGCTTCTGTATAATTCTGCGCATTTCTATCTTTAGTCGTCCTAAGAACACACATTTAGTTGTGGACACCGTGTGGATCACCGGTAGAACGCCCCACTCGATTTTGACCGATGATCGCTTTGTAATTCGACTTCAGTTGGAAAAAAAAAGGGAACAAGAACATATATTGCGATTTGGAAAAGTTCCTTCTTTTCGCTTTTGGTATATTTATCAAACCCATTGCGGTCTAGGCGATTATGTCTTTTGAATTGAAGGAGAAGGGTAACCAGCTCTTCAAGGAGGGGGATTACAGTGGTGCCGAGGAGCTCTATTCGCAAGCGTGAGTCTCGTCGATTCAGATTTATTGTGTGCATCCTTTCATTAAAAAAAGGAACAGAGAGACTGTTTCTTTTTTCAGCAAGCACCACAACCCCGGGACTAATCACCAATGGGAATTGATATAGAATCCACAAGAACCCGCGCGAACCGACGTTCTTTACGAACCGCGCCCTGACTCGGATACGGCTCGAGAAATGGGCAGACGTGGAGCATGATGCGCGCGCGGCGATTAGTCTGTACGGCCCCAAGAACCCTTCTAGTCTGAAAAGTTGCTGGTACCTGGCGCAGGCGCTGTTGGGACTTCACCGGCCGCAGGAGGCATACGATGTGGCCATCGATGCGTACCGGGCGAGTTTGGCGGCCAAGAATGTGCAGACGGAGAATCTGTCCAAGACGGTGCTCCGTGCTAAGCAGCAGATTTGGGCGCAGAAGGAGACGGCGCGACTGCGGGAGATGAATGAGACGTTGGCGAGTGTGGAGCAGTTGGTTGAGGCGGATCTCAACCGGGCGTTGGCGGAGTTGCAGGGGAAATTGGATCGTAAGGAGATTGGACAGATTGGATTTGTCGAGGATCAGAAAGCACTTCGTGAAGAAGCTGAAAAGAATATCCAGAATGTGCGGGACGCTTTTCGAATTGCGTCTAAAGGGGATATTCAGGAGCGGGTATGTATATCAATCATTGTGGTCATGATGCTGTTGGCTGTGATTGTCCGGTTGACGCTAATTTCATGCTACAGGTTGTACCCGACTATCTGGTCGACGGTATCACATTCGAGATTATGCATGACCCTGTCATTACTCCGTCTGGAACCAGCTTTGATCGCATTGGCATCCAGAAATACGTTGAGCAAGCGGGTGTCGACCCTATCACTCGGACGTCTATGACGGTCAACGATCTGCGGCCAAACTATGCGCTCAAAGCTGCGTGCGAAGAGTTCTTGACCAAGAACGGCTGGGCTGTAGATTGGTAGAAGATTTTCACCTTCTGTTACCTTTTTTCAGTTCTCTTCTTTTTTTTTACATGCTTGCTTTAGCTATGTTTGTTGTAGCGACGAGTACCCTATTTACTTGCACAGCGGCGTTTTGGAATATCTATGATATGAACTCCTTATTTGAAGCAGAATATTTCCAACCCACTATTGAACAAGAAGCAGCGATAATCCATAAAATCCAAAAATACCTCAATCAGGAACCAAGGATTCCCAAGAAATAATCATGTGTCCAAGTTATGTTCCCAACAAATAAGGTCACAATCAATAAATTACCCCACCAAATCCCACCCCACTTTTCACTGAATCCCCCTCACCCAAAAAATTCCGCCTTCTCCTCCATCAAACAAATAACCTATCACTCGAACCACCCCCAAACAAACAAACACAGGCACCCAAAATGTCCATCAACGCCTTCACTGAAGCCCTTACTTTCGCCCAATCCGGCGCCAAGTTCACCCCGGACGTCCAATCGGCTGCCTCCGGCATCAACGCCGATCTCCTCAAGGCTGCCGTCCAGGCCATACTTGATGGCGGTAACGATGCAAAGGTTGAGGGTGAACTGGCCTCGACCCTGAAGGCTGGTTTCGAGTTCGCGACTAAGGTCGTGAAGATGTTGCAGAAGGAGCCTGGTCAGACCGAGATGTTGAGCGTATGTTTCCTTCTCCCCCCGCCCCCACCTCCACAACGCCTTCAATGAAGGTGTGAATTGACTAATGGTGCTGATTGGTGGATGAATAGTTTTACAAGTACTTCAAGAAGGCTCAGAATGAGGAAGTCAAGGCCCCTGGAATGCTCGATTTTGTGGTAGGTTTTTGTTTTCTTCGTTGCTTGCTGGGAGGAGAGAATGGAGCTAATGGGGTTTTTCTTTAGGGAAAGGCCAAGTACAACGCGTGGAAGGAGATTAGCCACCTCAGCGACCAGAAGGCTCAGGCTCTGTATATCCAGGAGGTTAATGCTGCCATTGAGAAGTATGGTACCCGTGACTAAGTGCCGAGATTGGCGGTTTTGGTTAAGCTAGGGAGGAATATTATAGGCTTGGACTGAGGTGATGAGTTACGATGTTAGATCTCTGCCTGCTATTATCTACGGAATCTTTAGTGTATATGCAGATTTGATTCGTTTTTGGATACAGTGTATGTGTGTGATGTGTATTTGGTAGGATGTGGTTAGCCGGTTGTCCAGGTCTGTCCGAGCCAGTCGGGTTCTGTGTGTGTCGCTGTTGCGCACCAGGGGGTGTCGTGTGCTGCATATGGTGTTAGGGGGAGGTCGTAGGGCATTCGCAGGCCGACCACTACGTCTGCTATTGTATTGTTGCCTCCGCTTTCACGTGTGTTTGGGACGTCTTGTTTGAAACAAGGGACCATCGTGGCTGACTCAGTGCCTTCGGCGTATAGTTGGGGCCATATGACGACTCCGATCTCCCAGCTACAAATCCTCACTTCACCTGTGGTGTTGACTGCTGCTCCCCACGCCTGCGTGGAGAGATTGGCCGATGTAACCATTGCCCAGTTAATGGTGTCCATTTTCTCCGCATCAGAGAAACGGATATACGTTTTGATGTGCGGTGCAGCTCGACGACGGCCAGCGTCTTGCTTGGGAGTATTACTTAGCCCTACTGCGTCATGATCGCCTGCCCAATGTCGAAGGTAGGGCCGCATATACTGTAGTTGCTTTTGCTGCAGTGCGCTCTGGAGCTTCATGTGGATTGATCCGCCGGAGCCGTAGCCGTTCAGGGAACGGCGAATTTCGTCAGCTGTTGGGAAGATGATCGAGTACTTTGGATGCTGACTAGATGATTGTGGTGAGAGGGACGCAAAGAGGACATCTTTCAGCCACTTATCTGTCTGGCCTAGCGAGGCGACAGATGACATCTACGCCTGTGAGCACAAAACATCTGTAATCGCTAGATACGGGTGGACAGACCTGAATAATGATATGTGGTGTAGCGTTTTTATTGCTCTTCTGAGCTAGAGAGATATGGCGTATGGTGTCTTTCAATGCGGGCCATCCCCATAGTGTCTTCCGTTGTGAGTCGAGACTGTTGATCTTCTGCTTTGAAGGCACACTGGCTACTAGGGCAGCTCGAATAGCTCTAAAATCGTGCTTCTTAAGCTGGTCAACAAGCGGACCCGTCTTTTTGGATCCATACTCAGTTAAATATGCCAGCAAGTCTCTCTTAAACCGTGCACCGCTGCCTAACTCGAGGTCTCCTTGCCCACCATCTGTCTTTTGCAGGGGTAGCAGGGGAGACCGCCAGACAGCCTGACACATATTGGCCCAGTCACCGGGGATCATATTTGCGGTGTGAATAATAACCCTGATATATCTGTTAGCATAAATGCCTCAAGTAGTATCAGTAGCACCTACTGTGCAAGGTCATCATGTCTAAGTAGAATCATCATCTTGGAGTGGTGTGTCCCGAAAGCTTCTGGCATATAGGCAACTATAGCCTCCACATTCGGATGCCGAGAACATGCTTCCTAGATGCTATTAGTACGTCTGTATTTGAGCCTACATTGAAGAAAGATGTTTATACACACATCTATCCTCACTCTGTTAGGAGCATCCCTTTTCCAAGACCCATGCACAACTTTCACCCTCACTAAGCGCCTCACGTCTTCATCAAACTGATTCAACATAAAGTCTACATCGTGCAAATAATTAAACTGCCAGCATTCGCGGATCATGGGATCTCCAAGGATATCGCGCAACCGGACCGTGTCCACATTGTTTCCTGAGAATGCGGATAGATCGCGGATGTGGGTGAGCTGGATAGGTGATGGCACTACCTGTGGTTTCTGAGTACTTTCGTCTACTTCTTTGGAAGACCAAGGTGGAGCGGAGTGGGATTGGGATCTGCTTCGATTTCGGGAGGGTGGAGGGGTGACAGATCGGCGCAGTGATGCCAACCCTTGGATATCGGATTCAAGAGAGTCGTTACTGGTGTCTGCTTGGGCACCAGGGGATAATTTTATACGTTTTGCAGGATGGTTGTCTGCCATTGTTGCTCTCTCAGGCCACGGGTGATGAAGGGAATGTGGCCGGAGAGCGTTGAAGGTTATTGATATTTGTCGATGTGGCAGACAATTGAATGATGGCTGCCTCGCGCCACACTTCACGCGTGGGTCAGATAGAAGGAAAGTGATCCTAGTAACCAGGTAGCGCATAGGGCATATATATATTGATGTATAGTAGTAGAACTCCACGTTCTAGATCGCAAATAGACGCAATCGTTGAATACTGCCGGTAGAATTCCAATTTCGGTAAGCGGAGAAGACAGCGGGACTGCATGTTTTGTTCGTTAATTCATTTAATTACACTTGCTTCAAGGTTTCCATTTACCTTCCTGCGCTTTTCCAGCATTAACTTCATGGTCAATTAGCCTTGGTCAATACTATGAGCGCCGCTCAACCCCAGTCGGGCTTGGCCCTTGCCGCCCGCTATGCGGTCCCTTTTGTTCTGCTACTTATTCCTGTATGGATGGCCCGGGTCAATACCGTTGTTCCAGAGCCGTATCTGGATGAAGCTTTCCATATCCCTCAAGCTCAAGCATATTGGCATCACAAGTGGACGCACTGGGATCCGAAAATTACTACACCCCCGGGTCTCTATCTCTGGTCGTATGTTCTTTGCGCTGTTGCGCTTTTCCTTCGAGGCTCTCCAACAGAGCTCAATGCGGAAGCACTCCGTTCGACCAATGTCGCAGCTGCCGCAGTCTTCCTACCCTTGAGACTGCAGACTTTGCTGGATGCTCTACGGAAAGAACGCAATACCCGTCCGTCTGGCGCATGGTTAAGCCATACTGTGCTGAATATCTGTCTCTTCCCGCCGTTGTTCTTCTTCTCGGGCCTCTACTACACCGATATCCTTGCCCTTCTGATTGTCATTGAAGCCTACAAATGGGACCTTAAACGATCGGCAGCGACTGGCTCCGCGAGTCAGACTTTTGTATTTATATTCCTGGGAGTGGCTGCATTAGCCTTCAGACAGACCAACGTCTTCTGGGTTGCAGTTTTCTTCGGTGGGTTGCAGGTCATCCGGACCTTGCGGAAGTCTTCCAAACCATGTAAGTCGGCGAATGTTGCCGATATTGCCAAAGGAGGCTTCAATAATGAGCTGTATGACCCTCATGTGTCAGAGGCTTCACTAGCGGGTAAGTTATAGTCTTAGCTGCGAGAAATTTTTTGTTAAGTGGATTCTAGATTACTTTAAAACCGCTCTTTCCCTCTGCGCTGCTGCATTGGACAACCTGGGTCAAGTAATTGTTTCTTCGGTTCCATACGTTACTATACTTGCGGCCTTTGGTGCCTTCGTATCGTGGAATAACGGTGTTGTTTTAGGTATGTTTGCCAACGCTCTACTTGTATTCGGGGTCTCATAAACCCTCTAGGACATAAAGCATTCCACACTGCAGGCTTGCATCTACCTCAGATGTTGTATATCTGGCCCTATATCTTCTTTTTCTCGTGGCCGATCCTACTCTCACCTGTTGTCAATATGTTTCTGCCGAAAGTTTGTCTACCTAAATTTATGGACTACGGCTTTTCGAAGAAACATAAGGGCATCCCAAAGATACTGACAGTCCTCGCGATTGTCCCTGTCATGCTAACTGTCGTTCATTATAACACTGTCGTCCACCCCTTCACGCTTGCAGACAATCGCCACTATGTCTTCTACGTCTTTCGCATTCTTCTCCGGACTCATCCAGCTATCAAGTATGCTGCAACCATTGTCTACTTCCTCTGCGGCTGGGCAGTCATTTCCGCTTTTGGCTTCTCGACCATCACACCGCCGCCTCGATTTATCCAAGCTCCACAGCCAGCGTCGTCCCCCAAGCTACCGGTACAGAAAGGCCCCAAAGGCCAGACCCAAGGCGAGAGCAAGAAGAGACCCTCGAAGAATGTTGTTCAGCCTCCTAAGACACAGCAATTAACACCGGAGTCCTTCGCGATGATTCAAGAAGCAATTAAACAACGTCAAGTGAACCAACTGGATGCGCCGCGAGTGAGCTTCGTGCTTGTCTGGCTTGCTGCTACCACCCTTTCTCTCATCACAGCGCCACTGGTTGAGCCACGATATTTCATAGTTCCCTGGGTGATGTGGCGACTGCATTTACCGCGGCAACCCACGCCGCTTGTTCATCGCGAGCAGCGTCCTAGAGATGAAAAAGAAGCGCTCCGTGCGAAGATAGCCACCAACTTTCCACTTTTCTTGGAAACCTTCTGGTTCCTCGTGATAAACGCTGTGACAGGATACGTTTTTCTCTACAAGGGTTTTGAGTGGCCCCAGGAGCCTGGAAGGATCCAACGGTTCATGTGGTGATCGCTTTGATTCCTGTACATTCTGTAATTGTTTTATTATTAATCGTGAAGAGCTTCGCACTTTGTATATAATAGACACCCATTGGGGGGTTGACCCAGTAGCTCGATGTTCACTATGCAGCTACTCTATATATATGCTTTTGACTATGACATGCTAATTGAACCACGTTTCTGTAAGTTAGTCGAAGGGTGATGATCTCAATTGATCTATCGCACCCTAGGCTATTATATTTCTAGAACAGAGGACACGCTAGTAAGTCCTGTGAATGACCACACTATGGATATGCAGTGTGGAGCAATACGGGCATCTAGTGATTCAACCAGGACCAGGAGAATTCACGGCAACACCGCATAGACCGCGTTTGATAACCGCCTTTGATCCCTGTGTCGTGGTTGAGGGTGCAAGTGCCTCAGTTTCATCTTTTTAGTATCAATTCAGTGATCTGTCCCAGAATATGGCATAATAATATGCCCACTGGGGCAAACTCTGCTTCTGGAATGTAGAACCAGAGCATCTCTGGGACTGTATAGTCTACAATCTAGCCCCCACCATGCATCAGATTGAATGACTATGTAAGGAATTCACTAATATTGGTTTGATGCACTTTTTCATACATCTGATGGACCAGCATCGTAGGGTACTTGGATAGCCAAGTTGTTCACAGCCTTGCAAAGGGTTTGTCATATTTGTCATATTCTAACTAGGAATGCAGATAAATCTATCATTTTCCTTTGACTGGAAGGTGTTACTCTGACTCGAAACACGAGTAAGGATGTGAATAGTGTAACGAATATGATTAATCCAATTGCTCGGGTGGCCCAGCCAAATCCAATTTGATTGCATAGCCTATGAAAGATGATCGAATATGATATGCCTCCTGGAAGAAAGGAAATTTCATTCTTGATAGTCCATGCCAAAAAGCTCGGTGACTCTCATGTAACTAACCAAGCCCACTTCCGACTGCTGCTATACCGTTTGCAAGGGCCAGTTTGGTGCTGAAGTATGTCGAGAAAAGTGAGACTCCGGGTATGAAGGTAAGGCCGACACCAATGCCAATACAGAAGCCTTGTGCAGAAAGAGACAGAAATACTTAGCGCAATGATAACCATGCCTTTTACAATTGGGTGCTATTTCTCCACATGCTAGAATCCAATATCCTTAGGGGAGATGAAGCTTTTTATTTGACCGGCTCGTATGGCCAGAGACACAATGATCACCATTTACTTCCGAGCACTCACTTTCTCCAGTGGGCCCTCCCCTCAACTTTGCTAAAGATCCAAGATCGAATGTTTCTGGAGTACGTGGGCTTTTTGAACCTTCGTGGTGAGTCATTATATATTTCACTGACTACTTATTTTAGATCTAATCCATTCCCAATCTGGATTTGGTGTCGTTCCCGGGCTATTTTCCTAATATACCTACATCCTTGGGTTCCTATGCTTGCCTCTTAGAATAAGCACTGTTGCGGCTTAGGCTATGTGGTTTAACGAATGTTCCCTCTATCGAAACTATTAAGAACAAGACAAAAACCTATTATAAGATTTCGGTCTTCTGGTCTTGCTGCTATGAGACGATGTCTAAAGCAGAAAATACGGTTTGGGCCCTTTGGGGACATGTCAATTCATCGTTCAATTCATCGTTGGCAACAATTACTTCTGACAAGCGTATCTAGAGCTTGAGTAGCATACTGAGTGGTGTCGCAAGTTACTCATAGAGCGCTCAAAGGCGTTGACGTAGTCAGTTAAAGGTCTGGCGGTACAAATAACATAGAATACCTTAAGTATTTTGGTGACGCACTGATAAATATATCTTCATGGATGGCTTTTTGTCTTGTTCGGCGGGTTGTAAATCCTACATCCAATTCTGGGGAATGCCATGCATGTTATTCCCTTAATATCTTTACCCCGAAAATTGTCTACTGGATATTTCCTTTGAGTGACCGTATCTCTCAAATTTAATACACATGTGACTACATCTTCTCCCCGACTAGGCCAATGCCTTCGAGGCCAGAATGGACTTTACACAATCGCGAAGAAACTCCGGGACACGGTCTGGCTTGCCAGGTATGAAGCCCCTGCAAATATAGAGAAGACTCAATCAACGCTGAGCCTCCAATAGGGACGGACGCCAGCAACCAGTAATTGTTAAATGCGTTCATCATTTTCGTCTTCAGAATGAGCGTGACGTGCTAAAGCGCTTTCAACACCATACCCCCTTCATACGACCCTTGGTTGATGAGATTACTGAGCCATCTGATCCGCCAGCCATAGTTTTAAAACACCTAGATTATCACCTTCTGAATGCCTCTATCTCCCAGAGACTTACTAGTCAGGAGATTAAATTTGTTGCGAAAGGTATTCTGGAGGCTTTGAAGGTCTTACATGAATACAATTTTGTGCACATAGGTACGTGTAATAACTTACTTATACTGAAGTGTATTATCTCACCTAGTTTGCAGATGTTAAGCCCGACAATATTCTCATAAATTATGGCCCGGGAGATATACGCTTTAAAGATGTCCAATTAGCAGACTGTGGAAGTACTGTTCCTGCCGATTTAGCATATGCTTTGGACGGCGACCTAATAGGCGCACCAATATGGAGGAGTCCTGAAGCGCATCTCCGAATTAGATGGGGCACAGCAACAGATATATGGTCATTTGGCGCCTTGGTATCTATCTTCAAACATGATAGCCCTATTATCAAAAACCATCATTGATTTTTTTTTTCAGCTTATCACCTTGCTCTACGGGGATAATTTTTCCCTTTTCAAGCCCAACGTTCCTAGGGATCACGATGAATACGAGATAAAGATTCTTCAGAGGCAGTGTGAGTTCTTTGGGTCATTTCCTTTGGTATATCGTGAGCTCTGCCCCCACGAGACCTTGAATGTCCTGGCGTATATCATGCAAAGCATAAAGAAATTTCCAGGGAGGACAAGGAATTCATTTTGAAAATTATGAAGCTCGATCCTAGGGACAGGCCATCAGCAGCCGAGCTTCTGCAAGACAAGTGGTTTGATATTAAATAAAACAGTAAAAATAGGTATGCCAGTTAGTGGCTGATTTAGGGAAGTGGAACATCAAAGCTGAGTGAGCCCTGTCGAATTAGATTAGAAAATAGTCTTTGCAAACAGAACAAACGTCCATCGCGTTGGGCAATTCTATATCCCCAGCTTTATTCATGGTCTAGATGCTACGATAAACATCTTTACCTCTTTCACCAAGGGATTTAATGCTATGGGCATGTCCTGTTAAGCTCGGCACATTCAGATTAGTCATTTTCTATCTACTCTCTGAAACCTTGACGGTCGATGGCCTTTCCCCTCCCGCGGGGCATTACGCCCCCGGAGATATCCTTTCTTGCTGAGATGGAGATGGTCACTATCCTTCCACGTCAACGTCTAGAGGGATTAGAGCTACTGGGTGTAAGTTATTTTATTTATAGATATATTAATTGAATATTTGAGCCTCTACCTGTTTGGAATTGTGCATACCAAGAAGAACAGGAAGAAACAAGGCGTGGGGTACAGTGCCGATAGAAGACTGATAATGGATCGATTCTCAAATTTACGTTGCAGTCTAGAGAGGACTGACTTAATATACCAGGGTCCTGTTGAGCCCCTCCTACCACCTCGGCGTGCTTCTCTTCCTCTTTGGCTGGCTCTTCTTCTCAAACGCCAGCGCCGCGCAAATATCCTTCCTCCGCCCTGGCTCCATCCAGAATCTCTCTCCCTCATCCTCGACATTGAAACTCAAAATAATGAGTACCAGCATGCGTTCTCCCCACCCCCTCCACTTCCAGGCCAACCAAGCCTTCGGGACCGCGGAAAAAGGGCTGTCGCTACGCCCCGCTATACACCAGATGGCGGACGATATTTCCCAGCACCTCCGTTCCTACTGCAAAATGTCGCGCAAGACCATGTGCTATCTGGCGAGCCTCCATCGCTGCCATTCCATTGGCTAGAGGTAGGAACAATGCTCCTTGATGCAGCGAGTGATGATCTGGTGGATCCAGACCAGACCCGGAGGCTGTTGAAAGAACTGCGCGAGGTACGGACGGCTAAGATACGATCGGGCGTGGATGTCCTGGATGCCGCTGCTACCGGCGGTGGAGGGGTTGCGCTTACCGGCGTTGGGGCGATGGAGGTCGGAGAAGGAAGGGGATTCATTGCCGGGGTTGTGGACGGACTAAGGTAGGTTGACTATCCGCTTTGCTGGAACGCAACGAACAGTTCATTTCTAATCTCACTTGCTTGCTATTCAGGAAGATTGGCGCATCAAAAGAACAAGCGCGGCGAGAACAGCTGGCCGAAGATATGGCCAATGGAGGATATGACGCTACACAAGACGATGAAGACGACATGGAATTCTAATGATGTCTTTCGTACTTGCTCCTTTCCTACAAACCTGTGGCTTTCTCACCACCTCAGCGTTTGTTCCATTTTCCAGTTGGGAAGACCATGAGCTAGGACAGGACCCTTTTCACGAGCACTGAAACCATTGTCGATGTCTACGTTGTAAATCTCCCAAGGGGGGCCTTTGGGTAACGGAAAGTACCCATAAAATATATCGGTACAAAGTCAGCAGCTTTGACGAAAAAGGGCGTGACAGTGCGGCTTTGATAGAGGACCCGATTCTGGACACATTACCGAATGACTGAATATGGCTAGCTATTGTATTTAAATATTGTTTATATATACCCATATAGAAATACTAACTATAACCCACTTGAGATTACTTCACATAGTATCTATACCTACAAGGTCACCAACCTTACATTTTACCATGAGCTCAACTGTAAATGACCGTGCTAATTAGTATAAATCCATGGGGCCGTGAGGTTTATAATGGATATTCTATCTATAACATGATTTTTCGCATAGAGTTAGTCTATACTTAGTCCCGATCCTACGCTATTGTGTCTGAATCCCTACGTAAATGCATGCATATGCCAATCTTTTGTTCAAACAGACGACCCCGTGCTCCTGCCCCAATCAGTAATAGCGAAGAGAAAATAATTCGAGACAACAGGATCTGACATACATGAGTGTCCTTGTTTATATACCAGATGATAGATAAATAGCCAATCATAGCCTACATTCGACTTAAGTCTACCTAACAAGAACTACTATCATTACCTATTTCCATGACAATATCACTTTTCTTGTGAAGTTGAATAGATTTGCGGAAATATCGGCATTCTGCGCTACGCTGTTTTCCCTAATCTCTACAATCTCCTTTAATGCACGCGACATATTGCCGATCCGGGTGATGCACGGTCTTGCGATAACACGACAGATATCACCGCAACATCAATTAAGATATTATGATAAATCTTCGAAAGTTTAGGTTTAAAGAAGATAAGAAAGGTATACAGTATAAAGACATAAGCTCCGTCTCCCCAACAGAGTGTTTGAATAATCGAAAAAGAAAAAGAACCGAAAGGGCGAGCCTTGCAGACGCGTATCGAAAGGGGCCCTCTCATGCATGGTCGAGGAGACATACCAAAACGAAAGAAGATCTATTGCATGACACATTGACGCCAGCGCTTATGCGTTTTCTGATTGAAGAGTTTGCTGTACATGACATATATTAGCTAAGTCGGAACGAAGGGTTTAAATCCTAGCAGGGAACAGTTCAATACTCACCACCAACCAATCCATGCCTTCGTTGAGGCCCTTGCCATCAATAGCTGAACATGCCACAATACTCCAATTTCTATCTCTTAGCTCGCCCAGTTTCAGAGCCTCCGAGATCTCTCCGGCTCCTTTAGCGCCAGGCTGGTCCTGCTTGTTAGCGAATACAAGCAGGGCGGCATCGTGGAGCTCCTCTTCGTTCAACATGGCTTGCAGCTCGTCTGCAGCTGTGCTCAGTCGCTCAATATCCGTAGAGTCGATTACGAAGATAACCGCAGCAGTATTAGCATAGTAGCATCGCCAGTATGGTCGGATAGATGTCTGGCCTCCGAGATCCTAGAATAGAAACAAATAGGTATCAGTAACGACCTTCTCCACTCCGGGCATTCGGAGATCCAATATCACCGCCACGATGTACCTACCCAGACATTGAAGTTCAGATTTCTATATGTGACCGATTCAACGTTGAAACCGATAGTAGGTATCGTAGTGACGACTTCGCCGATCTATTGAATCGTTCGAACGTCAGTACAGGATAATTGGAGCGCATCTTCATTAGACGTATATATTGAAATATACCTTCATTCTGTAAAGCAGTGTAGTCTTCCCAGCATTGTCCTATACCAGATAGTGGATCAGCCCCAGATTTCACTGATGCCTAGTGTAAGGCTAATATTCACGTACGAGACCTAGGATAAGAATACGGATTTCCTTCTTCGTCCAGAGGAAGGACCATAGACGTGATAATGAGCCACCCATGTTTGACCGTTTTGTTGAACGGGAGAAAGCGACTCCTGTTCGGAGGTGAGAATGCTCGAGGGAGGTGCTCCGGAGGTGTGAAGTGGTGTGCGTCGGAGTGAAAGCTGCTCGGGATGATTGAACAATAGGATCAATCGGGGATTCGCGAGGTGCGTTTAGCAGGTCGGAGCTGTTTCTTGAAGACAGAGAAGAGGTTATAAGTTAGTATAAGAACAATGACGAAGGAAGACAACAACACAGCAGCAATAGCTGACTAAATGGCTGTATGAATGGGAGGGTTTTCCGGATTGTGGCAACGATTGGCCTGCGGATGTGCCGATCGGGGTTGGTCCAAGCTCAGTCTTTCTCTCTTGAACCATTTATGGGGATGGACAGACCCTGGGCAAAGGCAAGGCAAGTGGCAGAATAAAGGAATTGGCTGCCGCAACTGTTTCCATCTTTCACCTGCTGTTATCGCCTTAACTTTCTTTTCTTTTCTTTGCCTTTTTATTTTACTTTTTTCCCCATAAGATAACGATTTATTTCTCCTAATCCACTTCAACAACACCATTAATCTCACCACCGATGGTGCCCGCTCCGATTGTCCTCCTTTAGACTCTACACTTCAGGAACTTCTTGCGATCGGCTTGCGATAGCGCCGCATTAACCTCCCGAACCAGCTCAACACTGTCCCATTGTCAGCTCTTCATATCTGACTTCGCTGAATAGCACACAATGGTTGGGAAGAAATCTGGAAAGGCTCTCCTTCGAGATGAGGGTACGTTTATAAATGACCATCGCGCATGGAAAGCCTCCTAAGTGTCTTTGTGAGCGATTCGTTAACTGCCTGTTACTCTCTAGGCCTTGAGAGAACGGACAACAATATGGAATTGTCGAGCTGGCCTCAGGTCCCACCCATCAACCAAAAGAACTATTATACGTACGTTTATAATGGTGCTTTCGATGACGGGCTATTTGGATCATGTACTAAATCAGTTCCAGCGACTATCTTAAGAGAGATGACCAGTATCTGGCATTTCGATTACAAAATGAGGAGGCACGGAACCGTATGACCAAAACAGCCAAAGACCGGGATCGTGCCCTAGCTATGGCAAAAGCAAACGACCTCGGTATCCCAGAGGCCGATGCGGACGATGGCGACACCAATATGGATGATGGGGAGGAGAGTACAACAGAAGCTCTTGGGTCGAAGGTCATTGTTATACATGTCGGCAGCCAGAACCTGCGAATCGGTCTTTCCAGTGATGCATTACCGAAAACCGTTCCGATGGTGATTGCGCGCAAGTCTACAACCAGCGAAAGTGAGGACCGCGAAGAGCCTTGCCCGAAACGATTGAAGACCGATGATGGCTTCGAGTTGGAGCCGGAGAAAATGTTTGGTCCAGAGGTGGGTTCTCCGTGTATTTTTCATTGAAGTCGAAGCCTAACTTTACCTCTTTGGGCCACAGTTCTCCTCACAATACACCACGATGGCGGCAGAGCTCAAAGCGCATATGCGACAAAATAAACGCAGAACGCTCCCCAACTCCAAGGAAATGGTTATCAACTACAACCGAAGGACCGTGCCAGATACCATTTCGGAGCACAATGACCCAATGCGGATAGACTGGACGGAGCTCCCGGACCCTGCACCGGAGTACATTGTAGGCCAGCAAGCTTTGAGAATCCCGGATGCATCGAAACCTCGCTATAAGCTCTACTGGCCAATGAAATATGGTTGGTGTAATGAAGGGGACTACAACAGCAAAAGACTACTTTTCCTGGACATCTCGTTGATTCTCGAAGATGCAATCAAGACCCAGCTGGGCATTACGAGCAAAAAGGAGTGGACACAGTACTCTTGTGTATTTGTCATTCCAGATCTTTACGAGAAGTCTTACGTCACACAAGTCCTCGAAATGCTCATGAGGGAGTTTGCATTTGCTCGCGTCTGCTTCATTCAGGAAAGCTTGGCTGCCACATTTGGAGCGGGATTCACGTCAGCCTGTGTGGTCGATATTGGTGCGCAGAAGACTTCGATATGCTGTGTGGAAGAAGGAATGTGTATAGAAAACTCGCGAGTGAATCTGAAATACGGTGGGGCAGATGTGACAGAAGCATTCATCAAAATGATGCTGTACGATCATTTCCCCTATGCGGAAATTGATCTATGGCGTCGGTACGACTTTTTGCTAGCCGAGGAGTTGAAGAAGAGCGTTTGCACCATGAACGAAGCTGGTGTCTCCGTACAGGTATACGATTTCCACCTTTGTGTCGCCGGCCAAGATACCAAAAAGTACACATTCAAAGCCTATGATGAGGTTCATCTGGCCCCCATGGGATACTTCCAGCCATCAATCTTTGACAATTCACAAAAGCTTAAAGGACGAAGGGAATTGATATCCCGGTCGGTGGACATCTATGACGGCCAACCAAACGACCCAACCTCTGCGGCGCAGTCAGAAATCTTGTCAGCCATCGCCCCTCCTTCCACCAATAGCCAGGTGAATGGCGATGCCCAGTCAAATGCTTTGGATGTACAGTCGACCCCGAGCCGCTCTCATCAAGTCAATGCCCTGAGCCGTGTACAGGAAGTAGAGGCTACTCCTCGATCTTCTGTTGCCGGCTCGCCCGTACCAGAGACTCCTCAAGCTGGGGGTGCTGGAACACCTATGGCTGGGGGACAAGGTCAAATCACATCGCAGCCTCGTGCACCGACCGTTGAAGAACGGGATGATATCCTCCCAACATTCCCACTTGATAACGCAATCCTTACATCTATTGCGCATGCTGCTCGGTCTGATGAACGTAAAATGCGCGACTTCCTTGGTGGTATTATGGTTGTCGGAGGTGGAAGTTTGATCAACGGTTTTCACTTGTACCTCGAGGAGCGGCTGCAGGCCCTTAGACCAGGATTTGCCAAAGAGATCATGATTGGCACACCCCCTCGAGATCTTGATCCTCAGGTTGTGGTATGGAAGGGCGCAAGTGTGTTTGGCAAATTGAGTGGAACCAATGACAGCTGGATTGGGCAGTTGGAGTACGACAGGCTCGGTCATAGGCTAATGGCTTACAAATGCATGTGGTCTTATTGATTCATCGTTTTTCCTTTGAGATTATTTGCTATCATTATCTCTTTATACTCTATAGGATGGTATTACATTATGGGATGCCTTTGTTAGAAGGATTTGTACTTCAGATAATTGGTTAGGCATGAACCATTACTTTCTGGAAGATTTGGACATTATCATCTGTAGATCAAGTGAATATCATAACACAAGTAATAACCTGGACTTAATACTCTTTACCTTTCCTCGGAGTGTTAATTGATCCACTCTGGCTCACTCAACCACACTAACCTTAACCATAAGGCGGTCACATAGTGCAGAATGGATCCTCCGACCCCAAGTGAGTTTGTCTATCCAGACTGTTTCTGATAAAGCCGGTACCTAGATATTTCTAATTCCGCTCAATTTCCTCAGAGATTGCGCCGGTCGAAACTACAGACCAGGACCCAACTGGTGGGCTAGCTCCGGATCACGAGATTCCCGAAAGTGTCCTTTCTTCTCCAGGCGAGTGTTAAAGAATGTCGCAAATAGATTCGGGGTAGCAATGCTAACTAGTACCTGACAGTACTCTCCCCACCTTCCACTGCGACACAAGCTCAAGAGGAGATAAGCAGTGGTATTTCGGATATGTCGAAGTCCAAGGATGGTAGCTCCTCCGGGGGCTTTCATCAGGAGTACATTGCTTCTTTGCGCTATCGTAATGACCTTCCACCTCCTGATATGCCCCCGAAGCTTCTCGATATCCCGCACAACGGATTGGAGCGTTTTCTCACACCAGGCTTTGCCTCTAACTTGGCACGTCGCGAGGAACCAAACATTGACGTAGATGCGGAGGGTGGTATGCCGATTGACCTTGTTGGCATCCCAGGTCTGCACTTGGGTGACGAGAGTGGTATGCAACATATTCGCCGTGCGCTTTAAGCTATGAAGTAGCTAACGGGATCGATCCGCACAGCAATTATGGCGCCCGATAATCCGGAACCCATCGACCCCGCTGACCTCCCTCTTTTAATGACTTTGGATCAGCTGAGAAACCCTGCACCCAGGAATGCGAATGTAAGCTTTCTTCGCCGTACGCAGTACATTTCGGCCGGTATTAGAGCGCCGGATGGTACCAAAGTCGCGCCTGTCCGATCGAAATCTCGCCCAGCTGAGAAAGCGAAGTCCCAGGACGATCCCGCTTATATCAAAAAGTACATACAAAAGGGATTTGACATTGCCTACCCCGACAGCAAACACATTGGAGAAGACACCTCGAGCAAAATCAAAGGTCATATGCCGACAAAACCTGAAGTTGATGCTTGGGCCAATCCTGTTCATCCTGATAACCCTAAGCTGAAGCCCGTCGGTTTCTTTCCTCTTCTACCTGACCTCCAAGGGTTCCCAGACCCTGGTGGGTTCGTCCAATTCAAATTCGACAAAGCCCCTGTCCAAGATGTCTCCGGAAAGCGGGACAGACGCATGGACACCGGCATTCTACTCCCCTCGGCACCAGAAGAGCGTGTATGCGAGGAACACGCGACGAAAGTGGCTCTGCATAAGACGAATCCCAGGCTGTACCCCGATCCTGGGCCAATCCCCTGGGATTACGATCTGTTCCTGCCTGAAAAGAAGGACTCGATCAAGAACGTTCTCGCAAGCTTGCAGATCTTTAATCCCGACCGCAACAATGAGGAACTGTACACCCACCAAGGGCCTGATCATTCAAAATTTCACCGCTTCGATCGCACGCGTACTTATGCTACTAGCGCTCAGACTCTTGGCGGCGATAACAGGCAAAAAGATATAGCACTGACGCTTTTCGATCCTTCAGAGGCAAAGGGAGATCACTTGTCCTCGAAGCAAAAAGCCGCATACTATTACCCAATTCTCGGAAAGACACGTCTGAAGCCTGAAAGAGCCCGTACAATTGCACAGGCAGGGTTGGCTCCTACCCGTCCTAAGACGAAGGAAGACCAGGTTGATCAACTACAAGTTGTTGTCCGTGATCCAGATGAGGCGGAGGTGTACAAGCGCGCCCTACATAGGGCAGCTATTGATCCCAGGTTTGCCAAGTCCCTACCTCCAGCTCCCGAAGGCGCGAACGATGAGCATGAGTCTCAGGAGAAGACTGTCTCGGGGGACCGTGAGATGAGTGTTGAAGAGGCTGATAGGATGAGTGACGAGTAACTGAGCGTTCCCGGCCCCCCTCTCTGTCTTCATATGACTCTCTTTTAGAATTACGATTATGGCTGTATATGTTTCTTTTGCCCTCTGCACATCCTCATACCCTTTTCGTATCATCATAATGAGATACTTTTGGTCCTCGTTGCCTTTGCATCACTCTCAGCAGGGTGTTTGGGCAAACGGCTGAACGTGGTTGGCTTCTCATTGGTGTCAAGGCTGCAAAACATGGCGTTGGCTGGCATGACTACACTTGGATTTCAATTAGCGAGAACCTTGTCTCATTTTGTTATTTATTTGGCTGTATTTCTTTCTTTTGCAGTGTAGCATTCGTCGGCACAGATTCAAGGAGGGACAAGTTATTATTGCCAATGCATACCATTGCATGAAGATATCTGTTGCTGTGTGTAGGGTTTAGTGGTTGTAATAATCTATTAAGTAGTGTATGTCAAGGCTCCTTCTCCAAATTTATGCAATTCATCCTGATTGGCCCCCGTCAAAGCAGGCTCAACCCCTCATGCTTACATCATCCAAGCAGACACCAGTCCCAAAACAGCAAATAACAAACATGATACCGCCCGCAAAAACACGGCGCCCGCCAAAACAATCCATCGTCCAATTCGATTGTGCGCCATCAATCCCCAGCTCCTTTCCATGCACTTGGTTCTCCAATTGATGGAGCTGTATCCGGAGTCGCAATCATGAGGATTACCGAGATCGTTATTGACGTAAGTTCCTGCGATTCAACACGCCGCCGAAGCGAAAATAAGACGATGCTAATCAAGGTGGTAGGGTTTCAAATCTTACGCAGTGCGTACGGTGATATCAGGATGGTATGCGCTGACCTAGCCCCCGCCTATACTTTCAATCGAGATGATACGCCTTGTAACAGAGGCGCTAATCAACGTATTTTAGGGATGAAACCTTCAACTCTATCACAGGCCTTAATGGCAGTGGTAAATCCAACATCCTTGACGCTATCTGCTTTGTCCTCGGTATCACGAACATGTCCACCGTCCGCGCGCAGAACCTGCAGGATCTCATCTATAAGCGTGGTCAGGCCGGTGTCACCAAAGCCAGCGTGACCATCGTTTTCGATAATAGGGACACCGACAAATCGCCGATCGGGTTTGAGGAATATGCCAATATTTCCGTGACTAGGCAGATTGTCCTAGGTGGCACGAGCAAGTATTTAATTAACGGTCATCGCGCGCAGCAGCAGACCGTGCAAAATCTGTTCCAGAGCGTGCAGTTGAATATCAATAATCCGAATTTCTTAATTATGCAGGGACGGATTACGAAGGTGCTGAATATGAAGGCGGTTGAGATTCTGTCCATGATTGAGGAGGCGGCTGGTACGCGGATGTTCGAGGATAGGAGAGAAAAGGCGGGTAAAACAATGAGCAAGAAGGAGTTGAAACTGCGCGAAATCGAAGGTCTGCTTAAGGAGGAAATTGAGCCGAAACTTGAGAAGCTCAGGTCTGAGAAGCGAGCTTTCCTTGATTTTCAACAGACTCAGAATGATCTGGAGCGTTTGACTCGCTTGGTTGTTGCCCACGACTACCTTCGAGGCAACGAGCGGTTACGGGTTGCGGGTGAGGAATGTGACAAGAAGAGACATAAGGTGCAGACAATCGAAGACAATGCGGTCAAACTGAAGAGTGAGATCGCTCACTTGGAAGAAGACGTCAGGCGGGTGAGAGCCGCGCGTGACAAGGAACTGCGCAAAGGTGGCAAGTTTCAGGCGCTGGAGGATGAGGTTAAGTCTCACTCTCATGAGCTTGTGCGGTTGACGACAGTATTCGATTTGAAGAACGCTAGCATTGCGGAGGAGAAAGAGAAACACCAGGAAGCTCAAAAAACCGTCAAAGACCTAGAGAAGCTCCTCAAAGAGAAGAAGAAAGTTTACGATAAACTACAGGCCGAGTACGATGCTGCAAAGGCAGAACTCGACACCCAAACAGCGGAAGTCGAGCAGAAGGAAGAGCTGCTCCAGACATTGCAGACAGGTGTTGCATCAAAAGATGGTCAAGAAAGTGGTTATCAGGGTCAGCTACAGGACGCACGTAATCGTGCCAGTGGCGCAGCCACGGAACAAGAGCAAGCGAAGCTCAAGATTGCACACCTGGAAAAGCGGATAAAGGAAGAGGAGCCCCGCGCGAAAAAAGCAAAGGAGCAGAATTCAGGCCTGCTGAAGGAACTTGAGGGTCTCAAGGCCCAGGCAAAGAAATTGGACTCGGAGCTCTCGAGACTTGGCTTCGAACCGGGACGAGAAGAGCAACTCTATCAGGAACAAACGACCCTACAGAAAGAGATCCGTGAGCTGCGCCAGAGAGCAGATGGACTTCAGAGGAAGGTTGCGAACATCGACTTCCAATACGCCGATCCTCATCCGAATTTCGATCGGTCGAAGGTCAAGGGTTTAGTGGCTCAGCTCTTTACGCTGAATAAGGAAAACCTCCAAGCTGCTACGGCCCTTGAAATCTGTGCCGGTGGTCGCTTATACAACGTTGTTGTCGACAGCGCAGAGACCGGAACCCAGTTGCTCCAGAAAGGAAAACTGCGCAAGCGTGTGACAATTATTCCTTTGAACAAGATCTCGGCGTTCAGGGCTTCAGCCGAGAAGATTGGGGCGGCCCAGAACATCGCTCCTGGAAAGGTGGACCTTGCCTTGTCACTCGTCGGATACGATGAGGAAGTTACATCGGCTATGAACTACGTCTTCGGCAATACTTTGATCTGTAATGACGCGGACACGGCAAAGAAGGTGACTTTCGACCCCTCTGTTCGGATTAAGAGTGTCACACTTGATGGCGATGTTTATGACCCTTCAGGAACTCTGTCTGGTGGTAGCTCGCCGAACTCGAGCGGCGTCCTCGTTACCTTACAAAAGCTGAATGAGGTGATAAGGGAAATCCGAAGCAAAGAGCGGCTCCTTGCTACCCTAGAAGACACCATGAGAAAGGAAAAGAAGAAGCTTGATTCGGTCCGTGCGATCAAACAGGAGCTAGACCTCAAGACCCACGAGATCAAGCTCACGGAAGAACAAATCAGCAGCAACTCTTCTTCATCGGTGGGTGTCCACTTGCCCCTATAGATACCTTTTATACCTGCGACTGACTATCTTAGATTATTCATGCTGTCGAGGAAATGAAAGCGAATATTGAACAACTTAAGAAAGATATTTCCGACGCAAAAGCTCGTCAGACGGAAGCATCCAAGGATATCAAGCGAATCGAGAAGGATATGAGTGAATTTAACGACAATAAAGACAGCAAACTTGCAGAGCTACAAGGTTCTCTGGACTCACTGAAGAAGAGTCTCGCCAGGAATTCGAATTCGGTGAAGAGCCTACAGAAAGAGCTGCAGGCTTCTCGACTTGAGTCGGAACAAGTTGGAAGCGACCTTTCCGCTGCCGAAGAACAAAGCGCTGAGTCTGAAAATACACTCAACGCCCAAATGGAAGAAATTAAGTCGCTCAAAAGAGAGCAAGCTCGGATCAAGGTATGAACGAAACCGAAGCTACGGTTCAAGATTGGCCGCTGACCCGTCCTAGGACGCCTATGACATTGCCCAGGCACAGCTTGAAGACGAAAGAGCTAAGCTTACGGGTTTCGATGAAGAATTGCGAGAGCTTGAGCAGACGATGCAAGCCAAGAACTCGCAGATCACCGAAGAGGGTCTTGAGCTACAGAAGCTCGGCCATCAGCTTGAGAAGTTGCAGAAGGACCAACAGGCTGCGGCCCAGACCGTTGCTCATATGGAAGAAGAACACGAGTGGATCGAAGATGAAAAAGACAATTTTGGACGTTCCAATACTGCCTACGACTTTAAGAATCAGAACATTGCAGAATGCAAGTCCACCCTGCGGAATCTTACGGAACGTTTCCAGGGAATGAAGAAAAAGATCAACCCCAAGGTCATGAATATGATTGACAGCGTGGAGAAGAAAGAGGCTGCCCTGAAAAACATGATGAAGACTGTGATCCGTGATAAGCGTAAGATCGAGGAGACCATTCTGAATCTGAACGAATACAAGAAGGAGGCTCTTCACAAAACCTGGACTAAGGTTAATAGCGACTTTGGTCAGATTTTTGCAATGCTTCTTCCCGGCAGTTTCGCTAAGCTAGACCCTCCGGAGGGCAAGGATATCACGGATGGTCTGGAGGTTAAGGTGTCCCTGGGCAAGGTTTGGAAACAGAGTCTAACAGAACTGAGTGGTGGACAACGGTAAGTCTAGCATATTTGTTGATTTACATGCATCCTCATCTAATCGTTCCACAGGTCTCTCATCGCTCTCTCCCTGATTATGGCGCTCCTGCAATTCAAACCCGCCCCGATGTATATTCTAGACGAAGTCGACGCCGCCCTAGATCTGTCCCATACCCAGAACATCGGTCGCTTGATCAAGACGCGCTTTAAGGGATCTCAGTTCATCGTTGTGTCCCTGAAGGACGGCATGTTCCAGAATGCCAACCGTATCTTCAAGACGAGATTCAGCGAAGGAACCAGCGTCGTTCAAGCTCTGACTCCTGCGGACATGAAGTAATTCTCTTATGATTAGAATTTGTTGTGGATCGCATATAGTACGGTCTTTTCTTTTTCCTGGTTGGGTATTGTGGGATAGGAGCGCATTCTGTGGCAGGTTTTTGGCCGAGTTTTGGAGACGGTGTTTATTATTTATTCATCATTTTCCCCCGAGATGATTTGGAGAATTTCATTAATATATTTTTTCCTTCTTCTTCCATTATTTCTCTGGTTGTTCTTTTCTTGTCTCTACTTGTCCTAATGATGCACATGAAATGAAGATACTTTACAACATGGAGATATTATTTATATACAAGTTGTAGTGAAATGAGGAACGTTTGATAGCCGCGGACTATGATTATTCTTAGGCATAAAAATTATCTAGGTCAGATAAATTAAAGTGGCGCGGCTGAACTTCAACCACCGCCACATTTCAATTCAATTAAATAATCCGACCGCCTCCCTTCCGGACGTCATTCCCCCATTCACGTCGATCACCAGTCTATCTAAACTCCGCTTTCTTCCCATCTTTTCTTCTTTTTGGTCCCGATTCCGAATCCCTTCGCTAAGTTGCGATCACGGGAAATTTATCTCACTCCCACTTTGTCCCCATCTCCCCTGACACCATGCCCGACGAGGAGCCGTCCCTGAACATCTCCTCACTACTGACCCTCGCCGTCGTATCTTTCTTTGTTATCCGATGGTTCCTTAAGCGTGACGGTGATGCAGGTGAAGGAAGCGGCCGCAGCCGCGCGCGCGGAAATGTCGTCGACCCAGCACAAGTCGAGCAAATATCTCAGATGTTCCCTCAGTTAAGCACACGCGACATCATGTGGGACCTGCAGCGCAATGGCGGGAATGCCGCCGCAACAACCGAGCGCATCCTGACTGGCCGAGGACTGGAGACAGTAAGTGTAGACTTTCGATCGTCGAACCCGCCTCTGCTGTATGCTAACGGATACTATCTGTGTAGGCGCCACCGTCGTTTCAACCACAGGTCGCCATCCCCCGGGCCAGCCCGCCGGTCACACAAGCTGCCTCCACCTCCGCAACATCGAAGCCGGAAGATCAGGATCTGATTTCGCGGTACAATCTTAATGCCAAAGTCGCCAGCGAGGGTGCCGAGACGTCTCAGTCATCGTCCCAGTCTGGTTGGTCACAGAATAAGGAGGAGCGTCAACGTATACTCCAGAAGCGAAGGGACGATATGATTCTGGCGGCGAGGAAGAGAATGGAGCAGAAGGTTCGGGAGAGTGGTTAAATCGAAATTCAGGATGACTTTTGGGATATTTTATTTTATTCGGTCTGTACTTGTTGTCCTTCTTATTTTGCTTTATTCCTTTGGGACCTCGATTCCTGCGCAGAACCTTACATTTCCACTCCCATTGGCGCTGGGACGTGTAGATTGCAACACGGCTTCTTCTTTCTCCTCTCCCCTGAACTGATTCTGCCTTTCCACTTTGCTATACCCGGGACTTGGCTGTCTAGTCCCCTCCGCTATTCTTCTTTCTCGTCTCTCTTTTTCTCCCAGCGTCTGTTTCCAGCAAAGCGTTGCATGCTTATGGTGTTAGGTTGAACCAGAATATCTGAGGTTTACTAGGGAATATAGGTATATATACATATAGATTGAGATTTTGGAGCCGAAGTGTATAGCTCTAACCATCATTCATCGAGTAGTCCAACACTACTACGTAGTGTACTTAGATGTATAAACCCCGCAATATCTTGAGGATTACCCAATCAAGCTAACGACCTAGATTAGATCTTATCGAACTATCAAAACCACCGCTTATCAACTAGTCAACTAGATGTCCCATGATATTGACGAGTCTAGATCAAATCCTCCTGCATCATCCCATCAACTGATCAATGTAACCTTTTCCCTGTCCTCAATAATACTATATAACTACCATCAAACATCCTACTTCACACCCCCTCCCCAAGTTACAACGGCTCACACCCAAATCGCCCCAACCCCACAAATCATCATCCCCACCATGTCAACAATCCCCCCAACCCAAACAGCAGCAGTCCTGCCCCCCACCGGCGCAACCCCCGACGCCCACCTCCAGATCAAAACAGACCACCCCGTGCCCATCCCCGCCGACGGAGAAATTCTAGTCAAGATCGAGTACACCGGCGTCTGCCACTCAGATGTCCACAGTATCCGGGGTGAAACGCCCATGCTGACGGACGTGGCGGGCCATGAGGGGGTCGGGAGGGTTGTTTCTGGTATGTTTATTGATCATGGGCATATCTCATCTCCACGAGATCTTTACTCTTGAATACTGTACTAATTCTGATCTTCTAGTTGGGGGTGGAATCGAGGAGAAGGAATGGATGGGAACGAGGGTTGGGATTCGGTTTGTGCCTTTTCTTTCTTTCTTTCTTTTTTTTTTTTTTTTTTTTTTTAAAAATTTTTTTTTTTTTTTTTTTTTTTTTTTTTTTTTAAAAATATATCCAGTTTTATTCGCTGTTTGGCTTGACTTAAGTAAGAAACCTGATAACTCCTGTTGGCTAATGTTGGATACATATAGATGGCTGTATAGTTCCTGTTTGAAATGCGAGATCTGCGCGGTGAATAATACCGCTTGTCCCCGTCAGAGGAATGCGGGTGCGGTGGGTTTTTCTTATTCGCTCCCTTCTTCTGTCTCTGTTGAGCTTGGTTGATTGATTATATTGGGCACCTTGATGTTGATGAGGTACCTGTATAGAATGTTCCGGGGACTTTTCAACGTGAGTTAACTCCACCAGAAGACCAGACCGTACGGTGTGATGGCTGATGTGGATTGAGATTAGAATATATCGTCAGTCCCGCCGTCCATGTTACTCGGATCCCGTCTCAGCTGGCCCCCGATGAGGCAGCGCCGTTGTTGTGCGGTATGTTCTTAATATATCCTTTTGCTGGACGTGTCAAGAATTAAGTGATTGTAGCGGGAATCTCCATGTACTCATCGATCATGAAGACGAAGGCACGGCCTGGTGACTGGATTGTCCTTCCCGGAGCCGGTGGAGGCTTGGGTCACATGTATGGCTTCTTTTTCAAGCATAAGTTTTAGGATGCTAATACAGTCCCTAGGGGGGTTCAGATAGCAGTCAAGAAAGGACTAAGGGTTATTGCGATTGACAGGTACTGGCTACCTCACCGTAATACTATATCTGATGCCTTGTTAACTAGTGACTCAATCAAACAGCGGCGACAAGAAAAAACAACTCTGTCTTTCCCTGGGCGCCACCGCTTTCTTCGACTACAGGGTTGACGATATCGAACAGGCAGTGAGCGAACTTACGGGCGGGCTGGGTGCCCATGCTGTGATTTGCACGGCGAATGGGGAGACGGCGTATACGCAGAGTATGCGGCTGCTTCGGAGACTTGGGGTATTGGTTTGTGTGGGTATACCAAGTGTTCCGTTTCGGTTGCCGGCGACGCCGTTTGATATGATTGTTAAAGGTGAGTTATATCTTGAAAGGTGGTGGAAGGGTGAGTGTGACGAAGCTGACTTGTGCAGGGTTGACGATTGTTGGGAATTCGGCGGGCACTGCTAAGGAGATGGATGAGTTGATGGAGTTGGCTGTTGCTGGGGATGTAAGGGCGCACATTGAGTGTTTTGAGCTGGATCAGATCAATGATGTAGTGGCGAGGCTTGGTCGTTCGGAGATTGATGGGAGGGCTGTTGTTAGGATTCCGGAGTGAGTAGCAGACATAAAGCACAGCATACTGGGGCGTATGGACGTGGTTTTGAAGGTTGGTTTGATGGTTGTTGTCACTGGAAAGTGGTTGCTTTATTGACTTGTACGTGGTCATAGAGGCGCGAACCGGGTTATGTCGTGTCTGCATGCTGAGGTGTGAAACAAATGGCACATCTAGCGATGGTTGAATATATATGGTTGAATATATACGGTAACCTTTCATTCATATCATATGTTAGTATTTCTCTCGTGTGCTATAATCGTCCGAACAGAATATACCAAATCATAGAAGTTCGCCAGACCAAACTCGCCAAAAGAACACTTATTTATTTGGAAAGATAATAAAAGTAGAATAGAGCCTACTACCAGTGTATATAAAGAAATTATAGCTCGAGGTGCTCTACGCTCGACCTCTTCGCACTCCCATCTAGCGATAGCAAAGAGATCGATCGCTCTGCAGATGGTCGTGCCGAATCGAGTTCCTTTGTTTTAGTGCAGATCCAGGTGGATGCATACATGTTCACCCTGTTAAAGTTAGTACTTCTCACAACCTTGGTGAAACTCAAGTGTCAAACTCACCGGTCGATGCATGTTCCTGGGAACCTGGCGCCTACACGACGGGCGGAGAAGCCGTTTTCTTCAAAGTGTCGCACGTACCAGGGCTCGATACTAGCCGAACGAAGTAGGATACGACCGCCCATCTTCAAGGCGTGATTGAGCTTCTGCGCTTGCGCTGTGGCATCACTACCTTCGGGATCGAACCAGTCCATAGAGTCCATGACCTGAAAAGTCAGTATATAGTCGAGCGCTGTAGGTAACTAAGGTAAACTCACTACGGCGATGGTCAGGCTTCCGGGTGTTATCCGTTTAATCACTTCGTTGATTTCATCGGTATGGATCCGGAGACCGTCGAAGGCTCCCGGTGAAGACAGCTTCATATGTGCTTTCGGCGAGAGGTAGGTAGGATGACATCTGCCACCATTAGCCGAGTCATTTCACTGAAGCTAATAGGGCAGACTTACCTTCTGGAGAATTGGCCCTGCAGACACAGGAAGTAGAAGTAGTTGTCGTTGCTAATCAAAGTATCCTTGACGACTGGGTCCAAAGTGTCAACTACGTATTCCCATATCGACTGACCGCTGATGTCCTTAGCCTGCTTCATGTTTTTGTTCAGGCCGCTTCTCTTGAAAAAGTCGTCGATGATCATGTTTCGCTGATTTCGAGGCACGCCAGCAGCCTTCCAAGCAAACCATTCCGTTCCGACCACAGCCCAGTGAAGAGGCTTGCTCATTAACACTGAGCGGATACGTGGCCAGATTTCACGCTGCTCAGCGATAGTCTGAGCCTCGCACAGTTCCCGTACCTGACGCTCGAGCCCAAAGACCTTAAAAAGGTAACGGACCATCTTTATTGCGTGACGTGACCCTCCAGTCTCGTAGAGCCCCCTGCTAGAAGAGGATGTGAAGATGTGGGCATGTTCAAGCCAGTATTGGAATGCTTGGCTTGAAAGATGTGGACTCAATCGCGAGATAAGGAGTTGACGGAATTCGGGATGCTTTCCTTCACCAAAAATCTTCCAGAAATCACGGTGACCTAGGGCTATGAAGCTTGCAACTTTGAGTTCAAGGAGGTGATTCTGGTTAGGATTCAGGTCAACAGCGTGCACCCGTCGTGGGCTCTTCTGGAGATAGTCCAAGATGTTATCTCCGGCACTTGTGATTGCTAGGATGACGTCGTCCCGCTGAATATTAAGCAGACGATGGTCCACACGAGGATCCTCCCAGTTGAAAGCGTAGATATACTCATTCTTGAATTGCGTGTGCTTGGGAAGCAGGTCGTTGTAGAAGATTCGGTAGTGATGGTTCTGGTAGAATGATGATGGAAGCGGCAGGTTGGAGCCCAGGTTGATCACGGCAGATTCGTACGCTTTAGAGCGGATTTCCTGCGCACTCAACTCAATAGCCTTGTCCATATCCTGACGATGATTGGCCGGAGATAGGTACGGAGATTCTGTAAAGGATGCATCCAGTTTCTCAATGGCCTCTCTGCCCGCTTGACTGGAGGTGATATCCTTCTGGCACCCAACGAAGATGTAGTATGGGATCCCTCCCAGGAGATAGTTTCTCTCACTAGCTGAGACGACCGTTCCGAACCGATACTCCAAGTAATCTCTGCGGGCAGCTTCAAGGCTCACTCGGTCTACATCAAACCAAGCACGCCAGAAGACTCGGCCAAGCCAGTTGACATGACGGTTGAAAGCACCTCCAGTGTAATTGCGGGACGAGACATCTACAATGCTTTGAACTATGAGGGTGGTCAGTATTGCACGTGCGAGATCATCCTGGGCTGCAGACAATGAAATAGAAGCATGATGCAAATCGTTCTGGGGTAGTGCTTCGCGAGCACTCAATATCCGAGTTAACCTACCGTAGAAGTCACAAACGCCTAGTATTCCAGACGGTTTCATTAAGGCCGGCAGAGAGTCGACGACACTATAATAATCTGGAATCATTGACAGGCTGTAGCTCATAGTAATCAGGTCTGCACCCGTGGTGGTTTGAGTCCGTGGGTCAACATTATCTGCGTCCGGCAAACGGAATGTCCGTGCATCTTGACAGACGACGCTGATATTTTTCCACCCCAGTCGTTGGAATCGTTCACGAGCAACTTGGCAGAGGGAGGGGGAAAGATCGACTAGGTAGACATGCGAGAAGAACTCGTTCACGGGTAAGAAGGTTGCCATGGCTTCAATATTGTATCTGTGCTATAGTTAGGCTGGCTACCATTCGACTATTCAGCTTATGCTCACCCAGTTCCACCACCAATCTAAATTGTCAGTATCGCCTGTTGCAAAATTCTGCAAGAATGGAATGTGTCTTACATCAACCCAGGCTGCTTTCCCAACTTGAAGTTCTTTATTCTCAGCCTTGTACTTCAACTGAGCTGCCACGAGACCTAGCATGTCCTCTCGGCCGCGTAGCAGGCGTTTGCGGGTGGCATCATATGCACTGGCCTTGTAAATATCTCGTTAACTGCCGTCAAGAGGCCACGCAGAATTCGTCCATACCCACCTGTGTTTTATAGAAGCTCTCCAGAGCATCCTGTTGGCCATTGCTACCCTTGTTATGGGGCTTGAGAAAAGTAGCATAGATAAATTGCAGGTAAGTCAAGATGCCGCCATTGCCATTAGGGTCAGCTTTGCTCTTCTGGAATGATAGTAGAAGAATGACAGCGACAAAGGCCGACACCAGGATAGCAGTGCCAGCGATGTAAGCATACAGCCAGTCCATGCGGTTTGCGGCACCGAATAAGCTGCTGCTTAAAGAGCTCATGGCGCTAGGAGTTTCCTGGAGAGCAGTTGATTTCTCCTATCAAGGAGGGGGGACGGATAGGAACCTGACACTGGATTTGAGAAGGAGGAGGGAGGGCCTTCTTGAACCCAGCGCCTCCACGACGCTGTAAGGAGATCCAGAAAGATGGTTGGACTCAATAAGCCGCTGGAACGCCCCACCATGCCCCTCTATCTATTATACAGACCGGAACCAAACATAGGGACGGCAAGGTGATGTCCTATCAGAGACACACATGGGCATGGCGAGCGATGCTCTGCCCCCGGCTCAAAGGGGAATTTGATCGAAAACTGCGGGTAGACATGGATGAAAGCAGATCATCTCATGAGCCTCCATTGGCTCCACGAGGTCTAAGGTGGATTGCCATCGAAGCGATTGGGTTGAACTAAGGACAGTAAACTCCGAAATGAACGGGTCATTATCTTCAATGCTCAAAGTTTAGCAATGGGTTCTCCCACTATTGCGATGGGGGATCTACTCGGAGCAGCAAGGCAGGGGACAAGTCAGAGAGCGGTATGACCGCATGTGTGGACAAGCACTGGCCATGGTGACTCTCCCCAAATGATGGTAGTGGAGAAGAAAGAGAACGGAATGATGTTTATGATGTTCCTTGCGTTGAATACTCCGGTTCGGCCAATAAGCTTGCCCGCTGCCAGCACACCCCCCCTTCCAATAATCCATTCGACTATTACTTCTTCTCCTACTATAAACTACTATATACTAGTCCTTCATATAAACACAAGGGACTCACTCCTTTACCTCTTTTCTATACATGATATCCGAACTCACAGTATACTTGACACCACGAAAAACATCATCTCCTCCATGAACCAAGTTCCGTTGCTGCAAAAGGAGAATAGACCCAGCCTTGGGAAAGATACGCACCGCATCCTTACTCGAGTAACCATCCGTAAACGACGTTGCTCCTCCAAGAAGCCTCTCCTCGAGGGCGGCAGTCTGGGGCGTCGATAGAGTCATCCTCTCATTCCCCTCCCCATCCCTATTTCCACCCTCCCCAAACAAAATACCATCCATTCGCTCAGCCCTGTTAATCGCTCTCTCCAACTCCCCCCAAACCTACACCCCATCCCCATTCAAATACAAATGCATCGTAAAAAGTGACATCTCCATCCCATCCTCCGTAACAAAAGACCCATCCCCATGCGGCCGACAATACTCCCCCCCCCCTCATACCTTAAAAACCTGAGCCGTTCATTCAATCTCGTAACCCGGTACACCTCGCCGCGCTACGCGGGCCCAAATCCCGTAACCAGAGGCCAGTTCTCAATCCCCTGGATACCGCATTGCTGCAGGAACGGCATCAGCCGGGCCATGAGCCTCTCTGTGATCTCGGTTGTGTCGAAGATGATTCGGCCGCAGTTGCGGGTGCCAGGGAGTAGGGTAGGGTTTGTTGGTTGCTACCCATGTTGACCATTGCGCGGGGCCAGGGGATGAATCCTGGTTCTGTAGATGCCGATGCTTCGGCAAGGTGGAGGAGGTGAGTGCATTCTAATTTGATTAGGAGATTGTCGATGATTGCGGCGAAGTAATCTTCGTAGGCGGGGATTGGGGGGTTGGTGGTTGCGAAGTTTAGGATGTGGAGGGAAGCGTCTGTGGGTGTCTTGGGAAGGAAGTCTTTGGGATCTGGGAGTTGGGCATTGTGTTCGTATCTATATACAGTATTGGTGATGGATATTGGTTGTTGTGATGAGATTGGTTTCTGTTTAGCTTGGGGGTTTGGGCTGTGTTTGAGTATGATCTCAACGGCTGATGTCGACTGCAAAGAAGTCAGACCCGGTAATGGATGTGAAAAGAGAGATGCAAGTAACCCGATAGATTAAGTGACTCATGCGCGACTGCTGACGGTGGTTGTGCCAGACAGATGATATATAAATAGTAAGGATATAACTGAAAGGAGCTAAATCTGCAGCATTTCGGTCTATTGGCGCAAACTTATACTACAGATACAGGTCTAAAATCACAAATATAATAAGTGGTGAGAAGAGGAAAGAGAAGAAAAAAGCGGACTATAACTCTGTACATGAAAACATCAGTTCATGGCGATGACATGAACAGTCATTCATCAATAATTAATATCAAGATCCTCTCTTCCTTGATTTTATCATCTTCTTTTTGGCTAACCGAAGATCACGTTAATCATGTCAAAAGTGGCCGAATTAGAAAGTGAAGCGAGCTAAGAAGACATGCAGAAGCCAAGCCTGCCATATCCCGCTCAATTGAACCCGAGGATCATCATCGGGAGGCGGACGATTCAATTTCCAATTTATGACTGGCCGTACTTGGCCTTTCCAAAGGAGAAAGGCACGTAGCGGTACTTGATCATATGCTGGATCTGTCGACGCACTGCACAGAATTACTCGATTAGTACCGCGCGGGGCACCAGATAGGAGAGTTCGGAAAGGGAAAACTCACTCGTCAAAACAAACAAGATAATCCAGTACACCACAAGCACAGGCCAGAACACAGGGATATCAAAGACGGCGAACCAGCTGCACACGAAGGCAATGGCGATGGCGCGGGTAGCGCTATGCCAGAACTTGAATTCCGGGAGGCGACGGATAAATGGACGGAACTCGTCATCTTGCTTGGTGGGCAGGGATGCGGCTGCATCGCCATCCTCGAGACCCTCATCCTGGGTAAGAGAGGGGTCGAACTTTGGTTGAAGGAAGAGAAGGAAGAGGTTGAGAAGGTAGATGCCTAGAGTGTATGCGACTGTTTGGGAATGTTTAGTTAGCGCCCGTTCCTCCAGGATAATTTGTATTGGTTGTAAAAAAGGTAAAATAGTCGTACCGATATACCAGCCCTGAGCTAGGACAATTCTCAGAAAGAATATAAGAAGCAGGACGACGGTGCCGACCCAGCGGTAGGCCGTGAAGGGTGTTGAGGCATCGAGGAGGGTTTGGTATTGCTTAAACACTGTGAGCGACATCCCCTACTCGCCCATAGCAGATTGGACTGATCCTGAAGGCATATATTCCCAGAATTGAACTTACCCTGTTGAGCTTCGACGTCTGTACAGTCACCGCAGTAAACGGGCTCTGATCGGGCTCAGGGACATCCATGGCGTAAACAAAAATGCGGAGAGAAGAAAGACGAAAGAAAGGGAAGAAAAATTGTTAAAAGACCTTGATGTTCGTACTACTCATGCACGATACAATTTCCCAGAAGAAAACCAATCGATCGTTGTCCGGAGGCTGAGAGGAGGCGCGAACTCACCTGCACACTGGAGAAATGTGTGGATATCTGTTTCAGGCGCAGGAAAAGTGTCCACTGCGCTTGTTAGCAGGTGAGCACTAATCCGTTTTCAGGGTTCCAGCCACTCGGACGCTGTACAATTACGCTAGCCTGGTTCGTACTCAGCTTACTCATAAGTTACCTAAGACAGAAACCAGGCTAACTAGCCAGCGATTCACGTGCGCGGATTGCCTCGGAGGAACGGTTCGCTTCGGCTGCGGGGAGCGTCATAGCTCCGTTTACAAATAGCATACAGGGACAGTTGACAGTAACAATAATCTCAACGCCTTTGGGTCCCATCTTTTGTATCTTATTTGATATTCGAGTCATTCTTCCTCAATTGATCGCATAGCAGTCACAATGTTCTACCGACAGTGCTCACGACTAGTCTCCTCCCGGACTGCCGTCCCCTTGACCTCATATCTCTCCCGTGTTAGGCCGTATTCCTCGGCATCGGGATATGAGCACATCCTCACGTCCAGTCCCAAGCCGGGTGTGGGGTTGAGTACGTACAGACCTATTAGGAAAAATGTCAGAAAAACAAGTAACAAATACTCATTGGGGCGTTAGTCACATTGAACCGCCCTAAAGCCCTTAATGCGCTTTCCAGCCCTCTCTTCAAGGAGATCAATGATGCTCTCTCCAAATATGACGAGGACAAGGATATCGGAGCCATCGTTATCACAGGGAGCGAGAAGGCTTTCGCCGGTATAGTATCCACCTGGTCGGAGACTCAGTAATGTGCCGTTAAACTGACTGATGACCAAAGCCGGTGCGGATATCAAGGAAATGGCTCCCTTAACCTTCTCTGCTGCCTACAGCAACAACTTCATTGCCCCTTGGTCCCATCTCGCCAACAACATCCGGAAACCCGTTATTGCCGCGGTGTCTGGCTATGCCCTTGGTGGTGGCTGCGAGCTCGCCCTCATGTGTGACATCATCTACTGCACCGCGAACGCTACCTTCGGCCAACCAGAAATCAAACTCGGCGTGATTCCCGGTGCTGGCGGTTCGCAGCGCCTTACTCGCGCAGTCGGGAAGAGCAAGGCCATGGAGCTGATACTCACAGGAAAGAATTTCAGCGGTAAAGAGGCGGGCGAATGGGGTGTTGCGGCGAAGGTCGTTGAAGGGGGCAAGGATGAGTTGCTCGAGGAGGCTGTCAAGACTGCTGAAACAATTGCTGGGTATAGCCGAGTTGCGGTCCTTGCTGGAAAGGAGGTGGTGAACAAGAGTCAAGAACTTTCGTTGAGGGAGGGTGTGGAATACGAGAGGCGATTGTTCCATGCACTGTTCGGAAGTAAGGACCAGAAGATTGGTAAGTTAATTTCCTGTTTACCGCGAATCCGTCAACCGCTGACAATAATAGGTATGACAGCCTTTGCCGAGAAGAAGAAGCCTGAGTGGTCAAATGAGTAAACTTGATCTTTGTCCACAATATTCCAGAGTCCATCAATTGTCGTGAATGCTTGACCAAACTAGCTACCCGATGGCTACTAATAATAAACAACCCTAGAATTTGACGGCAAGCACATTAGTTTATTACCCGTCGCCCCAGAATAGTAGACCACAAAAACATCGAAAGCCAAGCCCGGACGTAGCATCATAACGTAAATCGTATTCATTAGAGTATGTACAGTATTAGATAAGATATTATGTTCGGGGATATTAAAATAGTATCATGATGACCCAGGTTGTTTCTCCAGCTGAGCCACGTCAGCGGTGGCTGACTTTTGTGTTTGGTATTCATTCACCAGACGGCCTTCAATAGTTTCGTCAAAGACATCCACTTGGGTGCTAGCAAACTTGCGGGCACTAACATTTCGCTCAAAGAGAAGGTCTAGTTCAGCAAAGGAACGACCCATAGGTTCTGGAACGCGGAAGTAAGTGTAGATGACACATAGAAAGCAGATACCGCCCCAGAAGAAACCCGCATAATTGCTCCAATTCCAGGCTTCGGGGTTGAGCATATACGGTGTCAAGACGCCGCAAATAATGGCGACAATGTTATAGAGATTGCGGCCGAGCACCACAGTCTTGATTTGTAGTCTGCGAGTTGAGAGCTCAGCGACCAGCGAGTACGCAACTGTTCCAACAGTAGTCTGGTAGAATAGGGCCCAGACGAGCATCATGGAGCCGGTAGCGAGAGATGCTTGGTCCCGGTGCGAGTGCGGAACCAGACCGAGGAAGCCCATGATGAGTAGCATGGCACAGAGACCGCAGAGCCCGTACAGGTAGAGGGTTCTGCGACCAATTCCCAGAGTCATGAGAAACCACGCTCCGAAAACGCCCACCATGTTTATACCATATTGCCCCATGGCAAAAGCGTAGGCATTGTCTGTGGCCAGGCCAGCCTGCTTTAAGAAGTATGTGGAATAGTTGGAGAACGAATTGCCGCTTAGGTTCTGGATGGCCCAGACCATACATACAATCTCCGTTCGCCGCAGATCGGTTCCCTTGAAGCAGTCTAGATAGCTAGCACCTCGGGTGATCTTTGCTTCGAGGGCCGTAGTATGAACCATCATTGAAATGGTTTCGTCCGGGTCGAAGTCGGAGTCTTGCCTTACGCTAGTTAATCGCAGGAGGGCTCGTTTGGCTTCCTGCGTCTTGCCTTTCCTCACAAGCCACCATGGCGACTCAGGCGCCAAGAAAATCCCAATAAGCAGGGGTAACGGCCACATCCATTGCAAGCCGTATGGGATCCGGTATGCCCACTCATCATCCCGGTTGATCATCGCTTTGATCACACCGATTCCAATCAGCTGACCCAGGCCCCAGCAGAAGTTGACATAGGTCGTCAGATAACCCCGCAATGCAACAGGACAACACTCGGATGCGTATGTGACCGTGAGTGTTTGGAAAACACCCCAGGGAATACCGGCAAGGATTTCGGCAGCCAGTAACGCTTGAACGTTGGGGGCGGTGAAAAAGATGGCCGTCCAAGCTGTGATTAGAATGAGGCAGGTGATGATGGTATAGCGATATCCGAAGCGTTCCGAGGCCCATCCATTGAGAAACAGCCCAATTATTTCTCCTACATATGCACCGTTGCTCAGACCTGCTTGCCACTAAAAATCTCTATAAGTAACCTTGCAACTGATTTATCGGTTCAAGCTATAAAAGAAAAATACATACCCGAGCCGGTACTTCATATTTCCCGTCTGACGTTAACTCGCCGTACTTCCGGTTGAACTGATCAAAAGCGTAGAAATTGTTGACCAGACTGATGTCGTAACCTTCCATGACGATGCAAGTAGAGATAAAAACACTCCACGCGACAGCCTTGGGGTAGAGTTTGATGCCTTGCAACAGGGTCATCTGTTGCTCCTTATCCGTAGCGGCTTTGGCATTATGAACGATCTTAGCCACGGAAGCCGTGGAGTCCTGACGATCGTTGCGGGAATCTGGCAATGGCTCGTCCGCCGAGGCGATGGCATCCTGGGGCTTGAAGGAAGCCATGCTGGGCAATTTCTGTCCCCAATGGAAGGGAAAATGAAGAAGGGGGAGACAGAGATATGAGCAGGTTGGACTTTCCAAAGAAAAGGGATGGGCAATCTGGACAAGAGATTGCACCGACGTTCCTCTCCCGGTTATGGCCAGTGGGACGACTGTCGCTAGAAATTTATGGCCTATGGCTCGGCGGGGCCTCTAGAGTCCCCACTTCCACTTCTGCCCAGGAACATCACCGACTGCGCCCTGGTCGTCGGGGAGTATGTTTGGTTGGATGGTTGAAATTTTCTGGACTGAACGCCAACAAGGAAAATTTACGGAACTAAAAAGGAAAAGGAAAATTTTAGAGTCGGGAAGCCCTAAAATGGACTAACACGAGACTGGGGAGTGCGGGGAAACGGAGATTTGACGCACGCTCAGTAGCAGATCATAAGCGGCCAAGCCATTAGCCGACCTTAATGATTGGATTGTTCATCGAACTGGCTTCATTTGTAAGGTTTAGAGCTTCCAAGTCAATGGAGGAAGAAAGAATCATAGAGAAACAGAAAGATGAGTTGTGGTATCCAAGCAACAAAGATCAGAGATGGAGGGGTCACCGAAGGCAGAATAGAGTCATACAATGAGCTTCAGCAAATGGTTCAACACTCGGAATAATACTTTTTTAGAATTAATTTCATAAAATCCTATACATCCTTCCTAGCATCTGCTCAGGATCAGCAATGCTGGTCTAGACCTTCTCTTGTCTCTTGTCCCGTGCCTGCGTCATGTGAAATACGAGACGGTAACAAAAACGAGTAAATTGAGCGAAACCAGTTAAGTACCATCAGGAGTCAATAGAATTCTAAGAGGCATAGGTTGAATTTTCCCCTGTATATCTATACCTGCAGGTACCACCACTCTATTGGCATTGAGGGAAAGGAAGATCAAAAAGAGGTCTTTCTAGCGAAGTCTTACTCCCCGAAAGCGCCTGGCATCCAACTATGGAAGAATAAATAGAATACATAGAATTTAGGTATTAGGCACATATCAACGTATCATTCGTTCATTAGCTCTCAATACTACTTTAAATAATATTAGGGTTCTGTTCCCTACCATAGTCATATCAGAACGCATGGATTGGAATGCTTCTGTTAGTGTCTGCACCTAATGACTTCTTGTGAGTACTAGTTTTGCAATTCGTATTTACTAGTGGAAGCCCCTTTATATTAATTTGTTGTATTGTTCTACCAATTCTTTATTCTGCTTTACCAGCGCATGTTCTAGCCATAGTGCAATTATATGAGCTCGCCGGAGAATATTACACCGGCCCACGTGTGTCTTAGGTAGAATTTTTTACCCCTAAATACATGATTACTTCGTGAATGCTTCGAAGGCTTGTCTAATGGCTGTCGGGTAGCCGTCACTTCGGAGTAAAGTTAATAGAATTTTAAAATAAACGTATCTGCTGCGACCCTAAACGGCCATCGTAGAACATTATACCTCGCCTCTAAAAGCAAACATAGCCCACCAAAAGCTATTACCTAGCCATGAGGTACAATACTAGTAGCATGAGGCCGAGTAGCCGAATAATTATGATGTGGTTCATTCAGCTCCAATCCCCACAAACGATACAAAGGCACTTCATCAAGAGTACAACATAGTAATACACATAATCATAAAATTCGGAAAGTCCAGCCTTCATAGATCCGTCAATCTACTAGCAGAAAAGTGACACACCCTCACTTCTTCTGTTCACTGCTGCTGAATATGCCCCCTGCCGATTGTCCAACGTTCTGGGTGGTGTTGCCGAGTCCTTCACTGGTGCCACTGACGGTCTTCCCCAAGCCCTCAGTCGCTCCACCGACAGTTTTTCCCAATCCACCCACAGTGGCGCCCAGGGTACCGGTCAGTCCATCGACGGTCTTGCCCAAGGTGTCGCCGACCCCACCAAGAAGACCGGCTAGAACGTCTGTCAGCACCACTAGTCATGTAAGTAGGTCGACATAGACCAACAGATGCGGTCAAATAGATGACCATGTATGTACAATCATAGGAAAGGGTGTCATGTCGCTGCGAAAGCAACGGAGGCACGTACAGTTCTGGTTTTTATCGGAGGAAGACATGATGATCGAAGAGAGTTCGTCGAAGATGAGAAAAGTTTAACAGAAGTCAATCTTGAGGAAATTTGGTGTAGATGCCAAACCGAAGTCGACGATGTTTATATGTCCCAGGCTTGTGATATAGACCGTTTAAACTAACGTCTATTGAGTTCTTATATGTATGCATCCAGGTTCCCAATGCCGCGGGCACTGGCCCGCTATGATATCATAGGCTGATCTCAGCGACGTTGCAGCTAGCCAATTATGTCTAATAGATCGCTCGGAGGATAACTGATTGACTATTCTTGTCTCGTATGGACGCGAAGGGGTATGATGCAAGTGTGAAGATCAAGATCTAACATCTTGTTTTTGCTGATGTTGGATTCTATACGCGTGGTAGCACATCTTCCATCATCTCGCATGTGAGTATCGGTGCCGTGTGACTGGAAATGATTCTGCATAATGGTATATAATACTCTATCAAAAAGTCCGATATAGGTTGTATTCGGTGGCTCTGATCGTAAGACAAGAATTCAAAGCCACGAAAACAACTTAATAGTCCAACCCAAACGAGTCCTTGGCTTTGATGTTCCGCTGACTGCACCGCGCAATGGAATAATGGAGCATTAGACCTGGCTGAAAGAGTAGTCTCTGCTCTAGGGACATCCTTTATGACATAAAAAGTAGGTAGAAGTACATGGATTAGAGTATTCCAAAATTATATATTCCCGGCGCTATTAGAATGCATTATCTGTATATGAAGACGTACAAATTATCAGCATCAGTTCCTTCTTTCGGGGCTGATACTAATATATCCGAGTCATCTTGTGCTATTTGTAACTGGACAGAAATAAACCATAATAGTGCCTGAATAGATTTTATTCTATAGAGATATCCTTCCTAGCTCTTCTCACAAAATTAATCGGATGCTCTGATTGGCTAAGGTCCTCACCTTGGAAGAATTTCGATCAATGGTCGAAGGACATATAATCGACGCCTTTAATCGCCGGAAAGTATCCGAGGTTTCGAAAAATAAAAATCATCTGGGCTCTTGACCTTTTCATGTCTTTATGAGTAATATTGAATGGCGTGCCCTTCCTTGGTCCACTACAATGATTTCAAAATAATCGCTCTCTTAGTGCTAATCCCACATACGCATTCAGAGAAGTAGAAAGTATTCCCAACTCGAATAGGGAGTTTCTTCTGTGGTCCAAGCGCATGCGGATGGTATGAGTTTGGACCCTGGTTCTACAGTGTGGCCCTATGAGGCCCTATGAGGAGTTATCCACCATTTGGAACAGGCAACCTACCTGGATAAGAAGGACAAATGGCTTCGAATATAGGAATAGTAATAAGGGGTGTGGTTTCCCATGGAACTATATAAGACTCATTAAAGTATGTGGTATGGATCCGCAAGCAATCTAATCTAATCCTATAGTCGCCTCATGATATGACTGTCGGAGGCGACTTCACTTGCACGTGCGGTAGGCTTACCAACGCAAGCATCTAATATCCAATTGATCAAGCCCTCTTAACCTTGGAATCTTGTCCTATGGGAGAGGATCTGTGGGGATGTCAGGACGTAGTGCGGCTGTAATAGGTAATCACCGGGCCATAAAACGATTGGGAAAGCTGTTGTATGCATGGTGGGATTGACCGGCGAGATTGGAGGGAGATGCCCCACTTGTCATATATTCACGGATGGCGTCTATCGCCATATGGAAGAACTACCTCCAATCAGATGACTATGCTCCACTGCATTGATTGGCAAGGGAGCATTTTGGGGTTCTCTTCCGAGACAAGATTGTCCTCACTTTGCACACATCAGGTGAGGTGCATGGATTGTCCCAGTTTATGTTCTCGACTAACGCTCGCATCTGCATTCGTTGTTCATCCAGATGTGGTTCCCGAAATTTTGCCATTGGAAAGGTATGAGCAGCTTATCGGGCGATGCCTGAAGATGCTTGTTCTGTTAGGTAATTCATTTCAGGCAGCCCAAATATGCGGCATAGATTGCCCCGCTTCCAGGTATCAGCTTAAGAAGATCAGTATGGAGTATAAAGGCCCGGATGACAATAACCTAGCAGTTTACAAGATGTTTGTTTATTCCTTGGATATCAAGCCTTTTTCTAAGTCTTGGAGGCACCCGACCGATCGGATTCTGGTAAAACCTCCGAAGACAAGCTGTCCGATATAGTTCGAACGAGATCATGTGCTGGCAGATCTGTCGGACTTACCAGGACTGCCCCCACATGTACCGATATGACTATGGAAAGTGTAGTGTCGCCAACGCTCGCCCGAATCAGCACTTTTGTGTTGGGCCGGACGGCACAATGCGCTCCTTGGAACGGATCATTGATATCCAAGATCAGGAAGTTTCTGGAGTTTGTCCAGCGTGTGCGGCGCAAACCCCCTTCAGTTCAGAAGGCTCGCATATGGGGCTTGTCGAGTAGTAAGGGGATCCATCTGTCTGGGTGTCGAAGTCGTCAACACTTGTACTTGTTTTATATCTTTCTGACGTATGGATATCACCCTAGACATAACTATTGCGCCTAATTTCGACCCTAGACAGCAGCTAAAGATCCCATAGGATTGGGTGGCCGTTGGAAGCCTGACACTTTCAGTTCTCGATCCATTGGACGGCCCGGGATCCCGCTTGACTGCAGGTTTCCCCCAAACACTATCCTGTGATTGGCAGAGGTGCGACCAACTATTCTTCAAGAGGGTTAACTCCTTAGATTTAGACGTTTTAGAGCGGTGTAAAAATCAGTTGACGCCGTCTCTAGTTTACCCACACTTCATCCATCCCTTCGGTAACTATACAGCTTAGCCTATCTTGCAACTTATCTGGAGAAGGATAAGCTCCAGCGACTAGGGCTATTAGCGCCCCCTCTCAATGGCGGCCCCTGTCTTCAAGAATTCTTCTAGGCACCCGAAGCGGGTCATCCTACAACTTAGGGTGGACCAGTTCATTGACTGCTTGCAAGAGGATTTCGAAAAGGCCATTGAAAAGTATCTGATCTTGTCGGGCCGATCCATGAGTGAGATCCGCTCAGGGAGACATTTTATCCATATAGAGCCCTTCCAGAGTGAGGATGTGCCTCAGAAATATTTCCATATCGTTCTCGATATGGAGCAAAGCCAGGGACCTGTCAATTTTCACACTTTATCCCATGAGCTATTTTACATCCGTCGGACGGACAAAGGGATGTAAGAGAAAGCCCCCCAAAATTTGTGGTGAAATCAATCCGCAATCCAGTTCGTGGATACTGATTTTGGAATAGGCAGTTATTCAAAACGAATAACCAGCTCATGGCGGAGAACCTGCTGAAGAAAATGCGTATCTATACGGACGATTTATATCCTTGGGGAAGAACTCGAGCGTGACTGTTCGTTCCCGGCAACGGTTAACACTCAAACTTCGAGTCCCACGACGTTATGCGTTAAGAGAGAATCGTGTCATTGTTGCAACTTCATGCCCATTTTCAACTTGTCCCTCCGTTTTGGTCGCTCTTCTCCTTAGCTCCGCCATTTGCAAAGCGTGCTCACTGGGGTCATGCAAGGGACTTTAGCGCGCCGCGAAGCAATATATTAATATGTGCTCTTGCTATGACTGCTATTTAGCCGGCTGAGGCTTTTTTTTTTTTTTTACACCTTATGCTCTTGACTCTTGTTCGTAGCCAATGATTCGACGCAAACAGAACTCTGATACTAGAGGCCTGATAGATTGCTATTAATTAGTTGTCCACGCTTGCTGATTTAGGTAGTCTGGTGGGTGATCGTGCTTGGGCTGATATGTTAAGTTGTCAGCCACAAGCCAGTGCGTAAACTAAGAGAGCATCAACCTTAGATAAATACAAGCAGTATGGATTGATGACATAGGATCAGACTAATATCTAGTTCGTTGATCGGATCGGAGGGCGGAGCTGCCCGCTGGGGCTTTCCCTGGTGCCAGGGACCAAGACAACCTTTCTTCGGACCGGAAAAGAATAGGTTCCACTGTGCGCCAATATCTACCTTGGTTACGGAGTAGATATGTTTACTGAAGTTTACTTATGTTTGTTTGAGTATTTAATCAAAAGGATAAGTTTCCATTCAACTGATATGTGGTTTTTCTTGAGTATCTTGGACTTAGCGTATTGTTATTTAACAGAAAAGTATTGAGTCATCTCTTGTAGAACATGAGAATAGAAGTGCAAAAAGAAATCGTCATCATGGACTATCGTAGCTTCTACGGAGATCTATTCGGCTGGTTATGGTACTCTCGGTATCCTCAAGGGCGGAGCGCTCCGTAGTCCGTTAGCGTGTCTCATCCTCCGCAGATCCTTCCGTCTGCCATCCCACAGCTCTAGATTTGTGAGCAAACAGACGATTTGGATATACCTGGAGCCGGGCGAGTATTTACGTTTTTATACTGATTCAATAACCGGATGAGTAGATCGATCTGTCCTTTACGGATGAAAAGGGAACTTAACATCATGGGAGCGCGCTTTCGATTGCCCAAAACAGGTAAAAGTTGCGCCCGCAGGTTGATTGATGTTCTTTATTTGGATCAGTAATATTGACGGTCCAGACATGGGGTTATTCTAAGCATTGCATGTCGAAGACTTGACACTGGACTTCTAGCCCGGTCCACTGACTAAAATCTGTTGAGGATTGCCCAGGATGGGTTAAGTCCCTACTAGTACTAACTTCCAACTGTTGATCTCCACCGAGGAAGTCAGTTAGCGTTATTTGCTCCATATGGAGCAGGTGTCTCCGGGAAACATTGTTCTCCTCCGTACGACCAAGTACGATCTCCGGTGAATATTAGTGGAATGTGCCAATCGATAGCACTACTACGATTCTTGGGTATCTTGAGATTGGGTATGCTGCTCCTTTAAATCCTAAATCCTTTTTGAAGAACTCCCAAGAAGGCCTGACATTTAAATGAACGTTGATTGGATTTGAGTTGTGCGGGGTAAATCATGGAACTTAAGTCTCCATTAGCTTTGTTTTTGGACGGTCTAAGGTTTTACCTTCCTATACTGGGAAAATTCAATGATCGGAGCTTCTTTCTCCCCCAGTGACTTCCACCGCTTAGACCCTTTTCAGTAAAGACATAGGTCAATGCGGGGAAAGATATTGAATTTGAAGGAACACTACGGAATAATAAATTCCATATTATGGACCTCGAATGTCACTAATAGCTACCTGTAGGGGACAAGTGATGGGTCTTCTTGGCCAGTGGGTTTCCGGGAACGTCATCATCTGATTAAGTACGAATGGTCATTGGTTGAAGTTGGAATGGATTTTCCCAAGGAATCGCAACCATTTCGCCTTTTTTTTTTTTTTTTTTTTTTTTTTTTTTTTTTTTTTTCGCCTTTTCAAACCCCATTGTCCAGTCAAGGTTCCTGTCCTAATTTATACTCTACCGAGCAACTACTTCTTTTCCCCTCCCTTTGTTGGCCACTTGACCGGGTATATAAATCCCCGCATTTCCCCAATTTCTTGCTTCATCCCTACTATCACTTTCTCTTCATACCATACTCTCCCTACACATTCCACCATGGGTAAAGACGACGAACCTAGTATGTCTACCTTGTGTCCCCCTCCCTCCCCTCCCCTCCCCTCCCTTTCCCTTCGCAATAGAAGCTAAACTGCTTTTCTCTCCACAGGAACCTACCGCTACAACGAGAAGCCGGTCTACACAACCTCCAATGGCTGCCCGGTTTTTGACCCCCAGGCCGCGCAGCGCGTTGGCCGCAACGGGCCACTTCTACTGCAAGATTTCCACCTGATTGACCTCCTGGCACACTTTGACCGGGAGAGAATCCCGGAGCGTGTGGTCCATGCCAAGGGTGCTGGCGCCTATGGCGAGTTTGAGGTTACCGACGATATCAGCGACATCACTGTCATCGACATGCTTAAGACAGTAGGCAAGAAGACCAAGCTTTTCACCCGTTTCTCCACCGTCGGTGGCGAGAAGGGTTCCGCAGACAGCGCTCGCGACCCTCGTGGCTTCGCCGTCAAGTTCTACACTGATGAGGGTAACTGGGACTGGGTCTTCAACAACACCCCCGTGTTCTTCCTTCGTGACCCCGCCAAGTTCCCCATCTTCATCCATACCCAGAAGCGTAACCCTCAGACAAACCTGAAGGATGCAACCATGTTCTGGGACTACCTCTCCACGCACCAAGAGGCTGTTCACCAGATCATGCATCTCTTCAGTGACCGCGGTACCCCTTACTCCTACCGCCACATGAATGGCTACTCTGGCCACACCTACAAGTGGATCAAGCCGGATGGCACCTTCAACTACGTTCAGATTCACCTGAAGACCGACCAGGGCAGCAAGACCTTCAACAACGAGGAAGCGGGCCGTTTGGCCTCCGAGAACCCCGACTGGCACACCCAGGATCTGTTTAACGCCATTGAACGTGGCGAGAATCCCTCCTGGACTGTCTACGTCCAGACCCTGAGCCCCGAGCAGGCCGAGAAGTTCCGCTGGAACGTCTTCGACCTGACCAAGGTCTGGCCACAGAGCGAGGTACCTCTGCGTCGCTTCGGCAAGCTCACCCTCAACAAGAACCCCCAGAACTACTTCGCCGAGGTGGAGCAGGCCGCCTTCTCTCCCTCGCACATGGTTCCCGGTGTGGAGCCCTCTGCCGACCCCGTGCTGCAGTCCCGTCTTTTCTCCTATCCCGACACCCACCGCCATCGTCTCGGTGGCAACTACGAACAGATTCCCGTCAACTGCCCCATGCGCGCCTTCAGCCCCTGGCAGCGTGACGGCTACATGAACGTGCACGGAAATTACGGCGCAAACCCCAACTACCCGTCCACGTTCCGCCCGTACGAGTACAAGCCCGTCAAGCCCAGCCAAGAGCACGAGAAGTGGGCCGGCGCCGTCATCGCCGAGCAACTCCCCGTCACGGAGGAGGACTACGTCCAGGCTAACGGTCTCTGGCAGGTCCTGGGCCGCCAGCCCGGCCAGCAGGATGCCTTCGTCCACAACGTCTCCGTCCATCTGTGCAATGCCCACGAGCGCGTCCGCAAGGAGACCTACAAGATGTTCACTCGTGTCAATAAGGACCTGGGTGCTCGCATCGAAAAGGCGACCGAGGCTAACGCCACCCACGCCAAGTCTGCTCGTTTGTAATCCAAGATATATCTAGCCTTGTACTATGCATCTAGCTACCCATCAGCCTGATTTAAATCGTATTAGCATGTATGAACGAATTCTATGATAAACAACTTCTTTCCCAGTTCTCTTATCTCTTATTCCCCTTGGGTCAATTGGAGCCGGGGCAGTCTTCATATTTTGATCTCTGACTGATTTCGATGGCTGTTTTCTTGTTGGGTTGAAATTATGATTAGTACTGGTTCTGGTAGTTGCTAGTAGTAAGTGGGGTTGTGTATACAATGTCCTAATCATATGATATTGATCAAACGAGGTCATGTTACAGGAACGGTTCTACTAGTAATAATATACTCAATTGTCAAAAACCAAATGCAGTATATATAGTATGAAGACTCCTACAATACAACCAGTAATAATGTGTGCTCCTATATATAGACTAATCCAAAAAGCAACCAAAGGAACCCAATAACCAAGCCTGCCCAAATGAAAATAGAACCCGTGCTGTTAGCCGAAAAACACCCGAAACTCACTATATTGAAGAGCGCAAGAGAGCAAAGATCGTAGATAGTCGTGTATATATGTTACGGGATGCCAGAATTTCTAAATGTTAGCTCGCGTTTTGAGTGCAGTCTTAACTTTCTCCGGTGTATATGTTCAACACAAATATGGAAGTGCTATATGCATGTGTGCTGCCCTGATCAAGGTGGTGCGGTGATGGGATGACTGCTGGTCGTTATGGGGTCCCGGCAGCCCCAGATATATCCAGGTGTTAGACAGGTGGAAGTCAGTGCGGGGGGAGCTGTCTGGGAGACTGTCGAAGTTGTTGGATCATTACAGCCAAACCAGCCAGGAGTTTTGCAAGTTGGCGAGGTTATGGTAGGCGCGGTGGTTGTGGGCGATGGTATAGCACTCGCATCCGTCGTAGTCGGGTCATTGCAACCGAACCAACCCGGTGTCTTGCATGTTGATGTTGATGTGGAGGTTGGTGTTGTTGTAGTGGTGGTAGTTGTGCTCTCGTCAAGGCAGCCCCACCATCCAGGCGTCTTACAGGTTGAGGTGCTAATCGTAGTAGAACTTGTTGTGGACGTTGTTGAGCTTGTAGTGGTGATTTCGGAGCCATTACTGCGGAAGAACTTCCACAACACGCAGTCGTAGCACTCTTCTTCGGCGGCACATTCTGGAACCTTGTCGTACACCTCAAGAACATCGGAGATCACGGCTTTTATACGATGTGTGCCAATTGCGACACGCCAGCCTTTATCTTCAACGGTATCATAGACACACATTTGGCCAGTATGACATGCTGATTCCATGGCATAGCCGCCCCAGGTGCATACAGAACTAACACCATTACAAGTACCCATGAAAACTGGATCTGCAGTATGCCCGAAGTGATAGGCTCCGGTAAACCGCCTAGACTGAGGATGTCTAGGATCATGTCCCGGCGGACTGGGAAGGCCTAGGCGAGCCGCAGGCAGCGCCTCAGGAACAGCCTCAAATGTGACTACAGGTAGTCCATATGTCAAACCAACTAAACTGGTCATTGCACCGCCCAGAGAATGACCCGTGAGCCAAACATTCGCCTCCGGGTAGATCGCGGTGACGTTTGAGTAGAGGTCGAGTGCCGCACGGTAGTACCGATTTTCGTCATACATGGACTCGGTTATACAGGTCAAGTTGGCTGTGTATGCAGATTTCTGGCAATCGCATACTTGTCGCCACAGGTACGAGCCACCCTGCCCGCAGCAGCAGCTAAAGAACAGATTATCATTCACTTTGTCGTTCGTGGTCGTGCCCGCACCGTCAAAGAGAGCTGGCGAGGTCCCCTTGAGGGATATGACAATGGTGCCGTTTGTCTTGTCCGCATAAATGTGGCCTCTCAGCCCGTCACCCGCCCAGCCGAAACTTGATGAATAGTTGAAGTGACCATGAACATCCTGCCAGTCCTCACTTCCCGGCTCCGCAATATAATCATTCGCCGACATCTTTGCAAACGTGAGAACACTTTCTTTGTCCGTGATATCAGGACCAGCCAGCGTATCCATGACCCATGCCGATGGCGAAAAAACGACAGCTGAGCCTGACGACCTAGCCACCGCTAAATGCGCTTCAATTGCCAATGGACGTCGATCTGCAAGCCGCTCGATGGTAATAGCACGTGATGAAGCCACTAGTGGGGAGTCTAAGGTAACCGGCCCCTCCTCGAGTCCATCTTCTGAAAGGGCCCGAAGACGGGTATGCGGTTGGATGTCGAGCCTCTGGTGGAGATCAGGTTGTTCATATGCTCCGCGACGGAAGATATGGCGAAGTGTCTGTGCTAGGGTTAGTTTAAGACATATCGAGGCATACGCAGGTAAAACTGATAGTATGAGATACCTACAAATTGATGGGTGCCTGAAAGTGTAGGAGGCTCAACTAGAGGGATCTGTGGCGGTATCAAGGGAGATGATCCTCGGGATCCGAAGTATACGGGCCCTAAGCCGAAAGTCGTGGCGGGGAGAAGGGCTACGCATAGAAGGGCATTCGAAATGATCATATTGCCGGAGAGGTATCTTTGGAATCAGCCTCGGAGAAGTTCCATAGTCATACAGAGATGATCACACAAGCTGGGAATGACTCTGGAACAGTCGGACCTTATCAGCGAATGACTGGAGTCCCTGGGGCGGTGAGGCGTGACGCAGTGCGGAGAGTCAGGGGTCCACGTGATTGGCCGGGGAACGCGTGACGCTTGTCAATTATCGCGGGTTGAAGATCAGGCAGGATACTTACTATCAAGTATCAAGTACTTGGTGCTCTGCTTCGCCAACCTACCGGTATCTTCGCTCAACGTCTTGGATGTCACTGGGCTGCTCCACCAGTATGCTTGGTTTTAATCAATAAAAGACTGCTACCCGGAATTATACTGTTTCTCTTCTCTTCTAATGCCTCTGCTTGTGTTGGTTTATGTGTTATCTATCTATCGATAAACACTGGTGAATTTCCTATGAGCCGACCAACTGAACTACTCGAACTACTTTGTGATCCTATCGCAATACACCACGGCGCATGCTAACCAAGCTTGGAACTGGTATACATACACAACAAAACCATGTCTCTCGACTCGACCGAAAATGGCTCTGGCAAGCCTCGTTTGCATACAGCCCGCTCATTTCCCAGAATGGACAGTTCAGATGCGAGCCCTTTCATTCGCTCAAGGTCTAAGACCTTTCAGGCGGTAGCCACGCCGGAGCATGTAGACTCCGATGCACACCCTTTACCATTATCGCCAGCTGAAGAGAACCGTGACTCAGGCCCAGACTTATTTGAAAGAGCAGGTGTCTCAGAGCTCGGCCTCGATGATGATGGACAAGGCGAGGAGGTTTCCGTACTGTCGCGGAACATTCAAGAACAGCCGGAGGAGTTACCAATAGAGTTGATTAGTCTAACTGACCGGTAGGATGAACGCTCAACTCTCCTCGTGATGTTGTCATTGCTAATAGGGTTGCTCGTTAGATTTGTCAACTCCTTAAGCGCCAAAGTGCATAGCGAGCCGCCAACAATTGAGAAAATCTCCCTTCTTTACCAAGACTTTTACGTCCGGGCAGAATCACACATTGCTACACATATCTCTGCGCTTGCTTCCCGAATAAACCGTGATCCTTTACCACTTACTCAGCCGAAATCGAAAAGCAAGGGTGTGGAAAACAGCCGGCAGATGTTAACAGCATCGGAAGTCACAGAAAAGCGGATTGCCCGAAAAATGCTTGCCTCTAAGCGCATCGGTTTGGAGGAAGCCGTTGAGCGGAGAGCTTGTGAGAGTATCTATGACAAAATCTGGCGGCATAAAAGTACGCTAGATGAAGTTAGGGACGAGAAATTGCGTTCTAAAACAGCAACATTGCTCTTAGTCGGAATAAATTTGAATGATCTTGGAGTTGATGTCGACATGGCTACGATAGATGAGGAAAAGCAGAAACAAGCCGATGAGGGTCTGTCTGTTGCTAGAGACTACCTCATCAAGATGAACGAGGCAAAATACCCTTTGGGAAAGCTTCAGCATCTTGCAGCCGCCCACAAAGCGATAGTGGACGCATTGACCAAGTTACTGCCTTCTTCATCCTCTGCTGATGAGATTTTACCTACCCTGATCTACTCGCTTGTTACTTCCCCACCTGAGGGCATTAACATTATAAGCAACCTACTTTTCATACAAAGATTTCGCTCATCGAGTAAAATTGACGGTGAAACTGCGTACTGCTTGACGAATCTAGAAGCAGCAATCAGTTTCCTGGAGAACGTGGAACTTTCTGAGCTCCGTGCTGACCAATTGCCGGAAGGACAGAACAAAGTCTCTAGCAATGAATCAACACCAGCCATAGAAAAGAGCGATGCTCGTCAGTATAATAAGGATGCCCCGGCGCCGGCTTCGTCTCTCACAACTGTGACGACATCTGCAGAATTCTCGAGGTCCCTCGGCAAGGAATCCGCTTCAAGTACATTGGCTAGACCCCTACAATCTGCGACTGCTCAACAACGCCTAAATAATTTATTCCAGCCCCCATCGAAAGTCCTTGGTGCAGCAAACGATGCTGTGCGTAATACAGCAGATCAGAGCCTGAAAAATATTGGTGCATCATTGGACAGCAGCTTCAACTTCCTCTTCGGCCGCCTCAAAGAATTGCAGTCCAGCCAACATGCTGGCAAGGACGGCGGTAATCCAATAGTACCAAAAACATTGGCGGAAGCTAGACGTCTGGTTACATCGACTTCTGCGGATAATAACAGTCTGAACCAGGAAATAAAAGTAACGAGGGAACCTGTCAACGATCGGCCTCATCTGAGACGTATCGGTTCGAAGGCAGAAGATACGTTCTTAGGGCTGGTTGGTGGGCAGAGGACTCCGCGCGACAGAAGTGTGGACAGCGTCAGAACCCAAGGAAGCTCAAAGAAGACTAACGTTGCTTCGAGCTCTTTGAGAGACGAACCGTCATCTGGAATTCACCAAAGCTCCCCGACGGGCACGTCTTCTCTGCCCCCTACACCTCTTGAATCGATGCGGAATTTTGGGAATACTCTCAACCCGCTTAACCATATACCGGGCATGATCAGAAGCTTTGGTCGTGCTACCCCTGATGGCTCGGGAGGCCTTACCACCCCTTCCCCTTCTACAAAGAGCCCTCCTATCTCAAGAGAAATCTCCTCGAGCATTACTAGGATCGATCCTCCGATTCAGCGTTTCCTCCAGACAACGCACGCTAGCGATCTCACCATCGGAGATGTCACTCTCTTACTCGAAGACTATAAAAGGATTGCAGCGGCGTTGAAGCAGGGCCCCAACCCAAAGTAAGGGTTGAGTCTCTGAATTTAGGTCTGAGATGTGTCTCTTTACTTTCGTGTAATAGTTTGCCACCTAATTTTTCCATTGTCTGTTTCTTTCTTTCCCCCCTCTTCTCGAACATAGCGTTGCGGATCTCTCCAGTTTATAGACTGTTGGTGGCATTTTGATTTTTAGGCTCAACCATCATTTCCTCGAGATAGGAATAACTCGCTTTGAACGAAGGTTATCATTCTCTTGATATCTGAATGTCTTCTTCGCATAGTAGTAATGCTACAGTGTAAACTGAACCATGAGACCCTTCAATACAAAGACAAGGAGATGGAAACCTACTGACCAGATGATCACCTAGCATGACTTAAATTGCCCCATTAGTCTTGAAGTAGTTACATGAACAAGTATGTGAATAACTATAGGAATATAAAGAACTCGCGGTAGTATTTCCAGACCGCCAGGATCGAAACACGCCGCAACAGGAACAAAACCGAAAATGAATATATCTTCAGGGAGTGCGACCACGCAGTACCTCAGCACCACCAGACCTCATTTCATCTAGCTTTCTAGAAAGATCAGAAGTCTGTTCTTCGACAGCCTCGTGCCTCCTTTTGATCTCAGCCTCGAATACAGCGGCTGTTTTTCGTCGAGCATGGCGCAGATCTTTCATCTTTTTGAGCATCAGAGTGAATTGGTCGATTAATTGGTCACCACATTCCTCCCATTCGTCCATGGACAGATTCGAAAAGTAAGTGCGACGGTCGCTGTCAGAAAGGTTCATAAGATAAGGGATCTTGTCTTCTGGGTTGGGTTGGGATTCCTGGGCTGTGTTTGCAGTAGTGGGTGATGGCGCGGCAGCTGGGATGTGGTCAAAGGGCTCCGCTTGGAGGTCAGCAAATGACTTCTGATAAAGTACATCTGGAGGATAGTCTGGCTCAAGAGTGCGCTTTTTCGGATTGGGTTTCTCCGGACTAACTCGGTGAACTGAGAGACGTCTGGAGAAAGGGTCATTGATCGGGTCATCATCATCATTAAGGGCTTCGATATTCGTAACATCAAAAGCGTTTATTGACTGTACACTGTCGCGTCTTCCGTAGTCGGTCGAAAAATACCCGAAACCTGCGTTTTCCACCGAATCCGGAGGATCGATGCTCGTGCTCCTGTGGTTATGTTGCGGCCGAGGACCAGGGGTGCGACGTGTAGGAGTTAAGTCCAATTGTTCTAGCAGATTTGGCTTTGGTGGGCTAAATCTTGTCCTTGGGGTTGTGCTCGTATTTGGAGGGAGTGTGACCTTCCTGGGTGCGCTGGCTGGTAAGATTGAATGCGCAGGTTTGGAGTTAGATATTGACTGGCTGAGGGTTGGGATCTTTGATGATTCCAAATGGGCCTGATTTTCCGGTTTTTGATGAGACTTTCGACTGGCATTCCAGAAGTTCTGCAGACGTTTGCTGAGAGGCTCGTCAGCAAGGCCTTTTCTGATGGGAGCCACGGATTCATTTGTTCCCTCGGAGGCTTCATCATCACCCGCGACCGATGTTAGCTGGCTTTCATTGTCAATGTCATCCGAGTCGAATCCAGCTGACTTCAGGGCCTTGTTCCCGAAATTGTCATACCACTGAGAGTCGTACGGGCGGTGTGTTCGCTGGAATTGATACAACGAACTTTCACCAGCACCCTGTGGCCGAGCATTTGGAGCAGGTGAGAAACGGTATGGAAGATCTTCAACACCAACAACACTCGTGCCTGCAATAGTTGAGTCGTCGACACCTTCCACGTCTGTGTCAAACATGTCCTTTGCGTTGTCGGTTGATGTAAGTGACCCCCCAGGCGCAGACTGGCCTCCATAATGCTCGAATTGTGTTGGTCTACTTAATGGCAGAGGCGTGGGCGCAACGAGCTTTGGTGTAGGAATCTCAACCCTTGCCTGTTCGGCTATCTGCTGCCGTGATTGATTGGAGACATTAATATTGGGTGGTCGGCGTTGACCGGCTTCCTTTGAATGTACATAATCTCCGACACCCATTATCACTGAGATCAAAAGGAAATTGAAGCAATGGCCGATTTAAACATGCAATTAGGGAAAGGGGTTCAAAGATAATTTCATTGTACTAGGAGTTCCTCACTCAAAACATAGATAATATAGTACTAGTAGTTGTAGTGGGGCCATTCATGTTCACCATAAATCAATATCGGGGTTTTGAAGTTGCTCAATCGTGGACGCGTTGATGACCTTGATTTTACATTTAAGGCACGCGCGAGGCATCCACGAGGTCACGTGTGATGATCAGGTAGGGGCATGCAATCAAGGTCTTTTCCGGCATTGTCTAGACCATAGAGCCTACGTCTCGACGTTTTTAGAATAGAGCTAGCTATTATTTCAATATGCAGGTTCATGCGTTGCTTATCTACATCTTGGCTGGGATCATTCAAAAGATTCATATTTCACGAGGAAACATTTCCTGGGTGAGAATGACTGTCGGCCATACACTAATGATCAGGATCCGTCGAGCGAACATTGTCGCCAATGTGTAGATTCGCAAGCGTGGAAGCCATCCCTTTGCTACGCTGTTTCGCTTTTCCAAATTCTTTAGCCTTGTCAACCTCGGCTTGTTTCTTCTCGGCTGCAAGTCTTTGCTCTCGCCTTGTTTGGATCGAGCCTTGAAACACTTCCGCAGGGTCTAGGCCACTGTCATCGATTTCGTCGATATATTTCTCTTGTTGGGTCAAGCAGGACACGAACAGGTCACCAATCCAGAGGGAAATCATGCCTCTGAGTTCTAGTAACTCGGGAGAATCCGAATAAGGTGGAGAAACAAGAACTTCATCCATTCTTGCCGCAATTTTCTGTGCTTCACCTAGCTCGGTAGCCCTTACTTCTGCAACGAGAGTCTGTGTTTTCTGTCTCGAGTCATCGTGACTTTCTGAATTGAATGCTGCATCCTCATCCTCCGAGCCTTCCCTGGACGCAGCTTCACGACGATTCCAGATATCTTGCCGTGCCGCCTTGCTCTCCTCCTGCGCAACATAAACCCAAAGCCCAAACATTGCTGGATAAAAGTGTAATGAACTAGTAAAATCCGGGGCAACCTTCCGGAATGGGTATTGGATGATGAGTCTCTCATAGTATTCTTTGGCATCTTCGAACCCTTTTCTCGTAAAACAAAGCTTGGAGGACTCCGTTTTTGGTTCATCTCCGGCTTCCTCCGATGCGGTGTCAGAAAGCTGACGGCCTCGGCGGAGCAATATTTCAGCACCAATACCCCATCTATTATCAGTACGCACATCGATTGGTGTTCCATGGAACTCCTCACGAAGGATTAATCCCCACGCTCTCCCAGCACGTATGTAGTCGCCATTAAGAAGACAACGATGCAAGATAGCGGAGAGGACAGCGAGATGCTGCAGTCGAGCATTACCTTGGTAAGCCGCAGACTGTGGTGGGTATATCGGAGGCGTCAACGATGATAGTCCTTTAAGAATATCATTCTTCCTTTGGCTGCTAGCAGCCTCGTGTTTGACAGGAGCGTGTGGAAATTGACCGCCTGGTAGCTCTTTGTCAAAAGAGAGGCCGGCGATGCGATATTGGTGGGCCTCTTCCGGCGACAAGATTACTGATGGTGCAGAAGGTGCAAATTCTGACCCAGCATCAGTTGTTTCACCTTCAATCACGTCATCTTCATTGCCCCAGTCATCATAGTCCTTTTTACGCTTCCTTGATTCACACCGGGCAACGCGCGCACTCTGGGGTTGCTGCCATGATGGAATTGGCAATGAGAAGACAGAGGCTGACGGAACAGATGCCATAAAGTCTCAGCGATTAAGAAGAGAGTAATCTAGCCCCAAGTTTGTAAGCCACTAGCCATGGAGATAGCTAACGTAGTCATATATTGTAACCACACCCCTCGTTGCTCTTGATTTTATTTGCTTTGTTTATGTCTTTCTCTTCTAGACGCGTATCATCTTCATAGAAAGAGTTTGAGATATGGGATCCTCAGGTATCAAGGCAACTCGGGTTCCACTGTGACCGTTTTCGACGACTGACCTAATCAGGAAGGCGGCCAAGTAGTTTAAGGCAGAATTCCACGGTTAGATGCAAGTAGTACTTCTAACCTCGATACCTACAGGCACATTTTTGGCAGTGTCTAATTTTAAATGCGATGCTACTGGTTAACCAGCCATACTTTTAGGACAAGTGAGAAGCCGCCCCGTCTGGGGCAATCCATTGAAACTTCGTATTCGTTTCAAAGTTCCAGAATTTCTGCGGAAGGTAGTATGCGCTTTGACCGCTCATATAAAACGCCCTAGAATGATCATGATCATGGTCATCATGGACATGGATGAGCAAGTCGGAGTCCGAGTCGTCAGAAGGCCGAATCCCCCAAAGGGGACTAGTCTTCCTATTTAAGTTTAACCTCCAGTGACGTGAAAGGTGCATTCCGGTAGGCAGAATGAATCGATTCAAGTAAGCGGTATGTCCATGACAAGCACATCACACTCCCGTTGCGTTGAATGCCAATCCCTCAGCCTAAGAGAGAGTCATGGGCGGCATGACTAGTCCCGACGCGGCTTAAGGTAAGCAAAGGAAGACCATCGTTATCTATCTTCGTCATCATCCTCACCATCTTCCCCCCATTATCGTCTTCTTCATTTCCGCCCTCAGTTTGGTTCCAGCATCGGGTCTACCACCACTTGGCTCCTGCCCTTGGCTTGGAAGTTGCCGCCGACCACCACACCATACCTACCGTTCTGAGAGTTTAACCCCTACTGCCCGATTTCCCAACGCCTGATTTCCCATAACCTGCCCTGAACTGTATATCGACCGTCTTTTCATTTGAACTTAGACCGACGCACATTTTCTCATGTCTTTTTAATCCGTCCAATGGTATGTGGCTTGTTGAATCATTACCATTGTCATTATTCTGTTTTGGCGCCGGTACTTTGCTGTAGTTCAGGTAGATCCGGAACTTCCACAGTGATGTTGCCGAGGGTGCCGCCAACATGCTGCTTTTAATAACAACAATGCCTCCTTCCCTCTTCTTATCGCCTAACCCCTGCACCGTGATTGTTTCGAGGATGTTCTTTCCCCGGCAGTGAATGTGGTATTGTTCGTATTACTAATATTAAATGTGTCTCTTTAGTCATCACATGTCGATGGCAATAGGCGGTTTATAACTCCCAGCGCCACGTCCTGATCACTCATTCTGTTACTATGGGACAATCCTCTTCTACACATCAGCGCCACGATAGTCTTTCGAATCTATCATCTTTCTACCGTCGTCATCGTAACAGGGATGAAGCCATGAATAACGATCAAAGTTTAGAGCAAAACGGGGTGTTCCCACCTCAATCAGGGGCGGAGTTCAATACTGGCGACAACCAGGATTTCCTATCAAATCAAACAAACTCGGAGTGGGAGACGTGGCGACCGGCGAACCCGTCGACCGAGGAGCAACCAACAGGAATTGGACATATGGGAAGCATTCAAGAAGAAAATGGACCACAACATGAACCAACCCAGCGGGAGTATCGGTCTGCGATATTTGCCCGTATGGCGGCGAGAAGACAATCTACGATGTCAAGGCTCGGGTCTAGGATCTTACCAAATTCGGTTATTCGTGGTCTCCTCAGCAGCGAAGAAGAAACGCCTGCCGAGGGTCACGCTCATCGGCACGGGATCGTATCGAGGTCTATACCAAGGTCAGAAGTCGCTCATAGCAGCAACCGCTTCAGTCCTTTTAGCTCGCTTAGCTCAAGGGGCATCACTAGACGGCGCTCAGCTCGTGGGCCCTACTTCATTCCGCGCAGTGATCCTGGACTGATCTCGGATCCATCCCACTCCCCTACTTTTTTCGACCCTGCTTCAGAACATTCACCAGAGACAAGTCGAAGCTCTTGGCGTCGAAGTGCTCGACTACATCGTGTTAGAAATTCACTGTCAGGTCCGATTACGCAGATGTTCGGCCAACCATCTTCAAACTTCTCTGATCAAAATATTGAAGATGTACGCCACTCGTCTATGGGGCCAATACATGGAGATATTTCAGGTGCATTTTCCCCGGAGTCCGGGACAATGGCCAGCCGTATGGACTTCGATGAACCTCACGAGCTTGATTCTGTGGAACCTGCCGTAGGAACCACCCGACCCACCTCCCCCATGTCTTCGCAATCTGCACAGAGTCCATCTGGTTTGCGACACTTTCCGAATCTCTTACGGGCACGTCCATCCAGGGTTTTGCGACGTGAGGAACAGACACCGCTCTCGCGTGTTCTTCAATTGGCAGCTGCTGCTATTGCAGCCCAACTTTCCGGCACAACAGGCCCTGTGATGCCTAACATCCAAGCCCTCGGTAATGAAGGCCTCGACAACTCGTTAGAGAACTTCATACAAAGTTTACAACACGCAACATCAGCCCAGACAACAGCCGATGGCCAAACTCCACCTGCAGATAATGGAGCACCAACTCCGGTTAACTTCTTACGGGTGTTCCGGTTTGCAAATTCAGATAATACTAGACCTTCAGGAACCTCGAATCGATCCGCAACAGCGTCGAACACTTCGGAGCCAGGTTCAGATGGCATGGATGTGGAGAACACCTCGGATGGACCTGAAGGGCGTACTGTTACTCTAGTAGTAGTAGGAGTCAGGTCAGTTCCATCTGGCAACGGCCCCGGCAGTGAGCAGCAGAATGCAGGCACTGGCTTGGATACCCTTCTCCGTCTACCATTCTTGTCGCCAGAAAACCTCCCACGCAATTCCGACAACGGTCCTAATCTTACATCGCGTGCCGAAGGACGACCGAGATTCCCACCTAGTCGGTATCAAACTGGGGGCCCACTCACCAGTAATGAAGATGCTTCACTGCAACAGGGACACCAGAGTCCGTCACGGAGACTGTCCGATACTGGGAGTCGTGGACCACTCTCATCTCTTCCTTCTATCATCTCGGAAAGCCCTCCAGGCCCCCATCCTCCGCCATCGACGCCAGCTGACCCTGGGCTGTCAGCTGTGTCGTCAGGTGCTTCAACTCCGAGCCGAAGACCGTCTTCTGCATCCGTCATGTCCCCAAGCACTTTGCCACAACTGAATGAGAGCCGGACTATGCAGCCTACAGTTGAACCCACCGATAGTGGCATTCCATTCACCACATCTCGCCAGCGACGTCGTAGTGATTCCGAGTATGTCCGTAATCGGGATCTAGGCGCTGGTGCAGTAAGGCGGAACGGTGTTGTCGAGCCGGACAACGCCCCATCCCCTGCAGGTAGAAGTTGGTTGATCTATGTCGTGGGCACAAACCTCTCCGAAAACCACCCTGCCTTTGCGACACCAAGCCTCTTTACTGATGTAAGAATGACCTGTTCCCCTCTTCGTCTATGGATAACTGATCTAACCTTATTCTCAGAACCCAACTTACGAAGACATGATTCTACTATCGTCTCTTCTTGGTCCAGCGAAGCCCCCAGTTGCCACTCAGGAGGACCTCACATCAGCTGGTGGGGTGTATCGCCTTGTGGAATACGGTGGCTCCCTTGTTGCGGAAGGCTTGGATGGCGCTGGCGCCATTCAAATTCCCGACGGAGATCGATGCTTGATCTGTCTTAGCGACTACGAAGCCGCTGAAGAGCTTCGGCAACTGGCCAAGTGCAGCCATGTGTTCCACCGAGATTGCATAGATCAGGTTCGTTGATGCAATTATCCTCATGTTTTGGATTTGTATATACTAACTCATTATACAGTGGTTGACAACTGGTCGCAACTCTTGCCCTCTATGCCGAGGCCAAGGCGTAGCCGAGACAGCAAATGCAGATCGCACTCCAAATATACCGACCACCGCTGCTGCTTAATTATCTTACACATGTCCCTATTTGAAGACACTCCGCCTTTTTCCTTTTGTCTAAACTTAAAGATTAGCATGAAGCGCGCGCATTTCATAGCCTAACGAACCTGTTTACTTGTTTTCACCAAGGATATCCATTGCAGCATCTCTTTTTTTAATTTCTTGCTTCCCTTCCTATCGTCTCCTTTATTAAATCACCATCATTTTGGTTGTTGATATTGGGCTCCGAGATTATTGATATAGGTAGGATGGTGAGACAAACGGATAGAATGGCGCTGAATTGTCTCATTACACAATTTAGCCCTAGCGCACTGGCTTAATCATCTGACTGTCCTCACATGGCTCTTCTGTGCCTTTTCATGTGAAATATATGAAGCATTGAAATCTCCTATTAGGCAGTGTTGTATGACTTGATTGATGGTTCTATTATCTGTATTGTAACGATAATTGCCCCGCATACCATCCCTGCTTTTTTTTATCATACACGCGCTGACTCAGCCCACCTGGTTCCCCTCAACCCCACCATACCATGCCGCACTCTATTTATCAATCTATCGTTCCTTGAGAACAGCGAACAAGCTTATCTTCCTCCGGTATCCCTGAGGTGGGCTGTTTTCCATTGCTTGTATTACCCCCCCGTTGCCCATTGTCCAGAAATCTTACAACATTCTTAATTGCTTAGATCAATTGAGTCTGGCAGAATTAGGCCTGCGGGAAATTTGCCCGCTATCGGCGCTTCAGTCAACAACTCCCCCGCCTAATTTCTATCCTCGATTTCCCTGATTGATCCCCATTATATTCATTCAGTCTTCGCAAGCATGGATGCCCCGATTCGACTCACTGTCCTCATATCGGGCAATGGCTCAAATCTCCAGGCAGTGATCGACAGGACCATCGCGGGGCAACTTCCGGTGAACATCGTCCGAGTCCTAGCAAACCGCAAAGACGCCTTCGGGCTCGAACGTGCTCGACGTGCGAACATTCCTACACATTACCACAACCTCGTGAAATATAAGAAACAACACCCCGCGACGCCTGAGGGTATTCAGGCGGCTCGGGAAGAATATGATGCGGAGTTGGCGCGGTTGGTCCTGGCCGACAGTCCGGACCTGGTAGCTTGTTTGGGCTTCATGCACGTGCTGTCCCCGAAGTTCTTAGAGCCATTGGAGGCGGCTAAGGTCACAATCATTAACCTTCACCCTGCGTTGCCGGGGGCGTTCAATGGGGCTGTATGTTCTCCTTTCTTCCCTCTGTAGTATCATCCTATTGTGTGGTGGGATGGCATGGCTAACATGTAAACCCTTGCAGCATGCGATTGAGCGTGCTCATGCCGCCTGGTTAGAAGGCAAGATTGACAAGACAGGGGTGATGATCCACAAAGTGATCTCGGAGGTCGATATGGGCACCCCTATTCTTGTGCGAGAGATTCCATTCGTTAAGGGAGAGGACGAAAACCTAGAACGCTTTGAGGAGAAGGTTCACGCAATTGAATGGGGGGTTGTAATTGAAGGGATACAGCTTACGATCGATGAGATAAGAAAGGAAAGGAAACGAGGCTCGACGAATGCGTGATGGGGTTTACCAAAGGAGACAAAAATAGCGGTCTGGCCCAAGATGCCTAGTCACGAACATCATTTCTTTGTCAATTTTTTCTTCTTTCTAGCCCTTTTTATTTCCCTCGGAACAAAGCATGGAATGACAGCATGGATTTGTGGCGGTACGGTTACTGTTTCATTTGTGTTTTGTGTGTGTATACGTGTGTACTAATGAAGGGATATTTCAGGTGAACGCCGTATGATGTTTTAAGCTTTTAACCCCAAAGAAAATCCGAATGGACTTGACTCGTAGACTTTTCCGGTGGAGGTGACCAGTCGAACTCCGCATGCATGTTCGTAAACTCTCGCACTCCAAGTTACAGGTCGGAGTTGAAGATCTGTCCGGCTGTGCGGCGGCTTAAACCCCGTGTAACTCGCCTTGTGCATGATGATGACCTTTTTAAGACTTCATCGTCGTGAAATACTTGCAGATCGCATTATACCCTATCTGGGAAGAATATGTCCACTGGACCCTATGCCCTAATCATCATACAATGGGGAATTTCCTTACTCTCAGCGTGTTGATAACTTTCTTTACACTGCTAGGCTAGTCCGAACTACTTCTGGCTGACTCTGACTCGTCTCAAAGAGCGATCTAGTCCTTTTTAGCATACCACCCAACCAGAAATCAATCATCATACTAGTCGATGGGACTGGACAATTTAAGAGACTCCGCCACTCAGCCCGAGGCAATTAAGGATCAGGCTGGGGGGGTGCTTGGGCCTATGATACGGCTCCAACGGTTGACTTGCATCGAGGCTAAGGCAGAGCGCATCCTATGAGGATCTGCTTTATGTAGTAGGCAAACACTAAGTGGACGATGATTTGGCTGTTGTCCTCCTAGTGGGTTAGACGCCTGTCTCGGCATCCCCTCAGATACGACGGAGATGGGGGGAACAGAAATTAATACCAATCTAATTCAGCGTCAGTTTCATGCCACCGTCGGAATGTATCGCTTCTATTCCTGCGTCTGCTGCACGCCACCGAATTCGTGATATGGGGGCCATGGAGATCGTCACACGGATGATGGTTTGAGAATTGACCAAGTTGTCCCCTTTTTTCCCCCTCTCCTTCCTTGTCTCTTCTCTGTTTCTTCGTGGTTAATTATAACGAGTCTCTGACCGGCACATCCTCAGTTTGTATCCGGTCGAATCACGTTTCAAGCTGTGCTGAGGGTTAGAGCCAGCGAGAATCTTGTTTCTGAAACCGCCGGCCGCGTAGTTACCTGCACACTAATCCGTGGATCGAGGCAAACCGGGATGAGAGTGTCTTGAAGCCGGTCAGACGTGCCGGTGCATACAGTAAGGTAGACACTTAAAGTTTGGGGAGGGCTGCAATCCACGCCTGTGGGCCTTTTCCAAGACCACAGAGCGGAGCAGAAGTACGGTATCACTTCAGCGTTGCATAGAAAATGAGGTATGCACGTCCCAGACTTCTAGTAGGTCCATCGCTCACGGACCTCGAATGGTCCCCGAGCAATTCGTTTCTCCCATGTGGATGATGGATCCCTGCTCCCCATCTGGAGAGCCACTATAGGCCAGACAGCAGATACTCAAGTGCTTAGTCTGGTGCTCAGAGGACGGTGAGTGGTAGTTGTTGGGGTTTCCCACCACCTACTGGAACTGGTGCTCATTACCCACGGTGGCCAATTTTTGTTATGACGGGACAGCGGCTCTACCCACAGGAGCAATTGCCTCCTTGTTGGCCATATGGACCCCGTTCCCCATCCGTGGTTAGCAATTCATGGCATTTTACTCACCACGCCACCAACTGGAGGTGCTGTTTGTTTTATGGCGGGTTTGTGAAGATATTGTCCCACTTGGATCCAATTCGTCGTCTTGAGCCCTGAATAGGAATCTTTTACGAGACCGGACGTGGCTTTTTTTTTTCCCCTTTAAAAAAGAATGATAATAATAATAAAACCAAACACAAGAAGAGCGACAAACAGAGTGATGTTATCGTGTCCCACCAGCAAGAACTTTCATCTACCCGGAAAGAGGCATGTGGGTGAATAATAAGAAGAATTGCACGAGGTATGATAGGTGTGGATTCCTCTCATTTCCTTTCTTTTTTCCGTATACATAATAGCGTGTACGATGAATACGAGGCTTATGCCTATTTGCCCCCTGCCAGCAGGAGTGGTCCCCGGCAAGAAACTTTGATGTGTGGGTTTCCTCGACGAAAGAGAGAGAAGCTGTCAAAGACCCTCGATGTCGATCAGGAACGGATGGCTCCCCAGTTATGCCGATTTGCTTTTTTCCTTGCCCTCGGCGGGTCAAACCCCCTTCCATCCCGTGCGTTGGAACGTCGAAACTGAATCACATCGATGGATCATGGTTAATCAATCAATCTATCCACATCCCTCTACGTGGTTGCCTAGGTTGTCCCCAAAGTTGATGGTCCTTTCGTTCGTGATTTGACCTGTAGATCATCAAGGGCGATCCGAATGCACGCTGCTCGTAAAAGCAACCACATGAACAAAGAGAGGGAGAGAGGAAAGGTCATTGTCTCACTTTTCACCGGCGGTATAGATCGTGTACTATGCCTAACCAGGGATCATAACGGCTGTCAGATGCCATGTTCATAAGATTAACCCCTATAGAGCATGAGCCAGGGCGATGGGACATCCGATGCAAAGACTTGCTCCACTGAAACATTATGGTAGTACTAATACTCTTTTCCGTCCCCGTCGGTGGAAGAGTATGTCGGCAAATCCTGCCTAGATAGTACTGGTTTCAACGAAGGGTCCGTTTCATATTTGCCGACGTGACGAGCGGCAATACACAAGGAAGGTCGGTTGTGCGATGCTACGAAAAGGGTTCGTTTTTCCCTTTTTGTCCTTTTTTTCCCTTTTTGTCCTTTTTTTTTCTTTTTGTTCTTTTTTGTTCTTTTTTTTTCTTTTT